ATAGAAAAATAATTGTATAATTTTAACTGTATAATTTTAAAATATTGTGTGTAGATATATATATATATATATATATATATATATTAAAATTATCAGATTTTTAATGGGACAGACTAAAATCATACAATTATGATATTTGAGGGACTAAAATTGTTCAATTAAAATTTGAAGGACCAAAATTTCACAATTCCAATCCTTTAAGGACTAAAATTATCCAATTAAAATCTTGGGATCAAAATTGCACAATTACAATACTTGAGGGATCAAAAATGTAATTAAGCCTAATTTTTAACATATTGGATGAGGATACTTTGCTTATGTATACTAATAAAAAATTTAACAATTAATATATAATGACTACTAAAAATTTATTTACATCACACCAAATTAGCGACAATTATTTATTGAAAAAAATTTAAGTCTCATATCGACTAGAGATAAGATAATTAAATAGTATATAAGTTAATGATAACTCTCACCTTACAAGTTTGTTTTGTAGGGTTTAGTTAAACTTAATTATAACTTACTATTCTAAGTTGATATTAGATTACTCATCATTACCAAATTCAATAATGTTAAACTTGAGGGGTGTATTGAAAAAAAAAACTCAAATTTCACATCGACTATAGATAAAATAATTAATTAAGAGATGAAACAATTAAAAAAATAAGAAAATTAAAGAATATATGAAAAAATTTCACATCGACTATAGATAAAATAATTAATTAGGAGATAAGATAATTAAAAAAATAAGAAAATTAAAGGATATATAAGTAGAAGACAACTTTCATCTTACATCGACTAGTAATAAGGTAATTAAAGAGTATTTGTACACATCTTACAAACTTCACATCGATTAGAAATAAGGTAATTAAATAATATTATAATTCATTTCTTAAACTTTTAGTGGCAATAGCAAAAAATATTAAATGTCAGAAGAAAAAAAAATGTCATAAAAAGTTATACTCGGGCATTATAAGGATCTTTACCATCATGCAGAATAATTGCTAGTAAATATTTTAGGGACACTACATACAATAACTAATGTGAAAATACTGATAAAAAATTTTGTAGCAATTTTTATCGTCACTAAAAATTATATTAAATACTACTAAAAGTCCATTTAGTTGTAGTAACATAACAAAACCTTATAAGAGTTTAGTAGAGTTTTTCCTTACTTAATTACAAATAAAATTATAATTCAGTATGTGACTCATCTTATGACTTATAGTATCTTGTTAAGAGATATAAAAGTGTAACAAAATTGTTATAAATAAGGGAAGTAATTTCTTCTTCTTCTTTTTTTTTTTGTCATGCATTGAAAAACCTAACATTCAAACATCTCACCATACAACTAGACATTTAATTAAAGCTTAAACTATATTAGATTCAACATAGCATAAATACTAAATCCTTCAAAATTATAAGTACACAATATAATCTCTTTACTAATTAATTACAAACAAAATGATAATATATCGTGTGATCGGACTTATAACTAGCCAATTAATTAATATGTGACATTATTAGACTGAAGTATTTGATCATTTGAATTTTTTTAGTTTATTATGCACCATGGACAGAGATCTACATTGCAAGGTTTGGGGGCACTTGCCGCCACCTGATTTTCGTTTTTTCTTTAATATAATATATAAAATGCTCCATAATTTGAGATGTAATTAAAAAAAGAGTTATATATATTATAATATTACTCCCACTAATTTGTATATGTGAGTATTTCCCCGTATCATCAAATTTCTAGACTCATCACTATTATGCACCCAAAAGAATTCTCATCCTGAGACACATATTGAAAGTGAGCTTGCATCAAATAAGTTGGAAAAGACAAGACAGAGAGCGAGGAAATGATAGAGATAATCCATATTAATAATAAAAATAAAATAAAAAAACTTTCAAAAAGATGAATCAAGGATTCGTATTACTGCAATTAGCATGCAAGACCTATCATATAGTATAAATACCCTCCTTTTTATGTTACAAAAAAAAAAAAAAAAAAACTTAGAGAATGGTATAAATACCATAAAAAAATTACGGAAATTAAAATTGATATTAAGATCGACACGGATGGCCATACAAAACAAAAGAAAGAGTTACACGAAAGTGTTTATACTTTAAAGGGTAAGCTAGGTTTGTTCAAGAGACCATTAATGGCAATGGCGATGTTGCACAACTTGCGGAAGACAACGCTTTTAACGGAGAGAATGTCATCATCTCCAGGGATGGAAGCATCGCAAGTGTCGATTGCAGCCAAAGCAGCTTTGAGCCAAATTTGGGCATCAGAGTTAGAATCAACCAACAAGGCAGCAATGCTGTCCTCCAGTTGGCTCTCTGCATCTGAGATTGTCTCCTTGCAATCAGCCAAACCTTGTTGAACGTCTGGGTCAAGGTTGTCGTCATCGATGAGCATTTTTGTATCTTCCAGGATCCCAGATGCGTTATTGGCAGCAACCCTAAGGGATATGATTGCCAAGTCTTTGAGGTCTGCGTTAGGGCTTTGCTCCGGGTCTGATGATAGGACATTCACACATAGGTCTCTATTTGGAACCATTGTGCATACCTTCTTGATTAGGTTCTTTCCTTTTGTTTCTTGTGCGCTTGTCTGGTATGCCAATACAATCACACAGAGAACCAACCCCGAGAAGACTTTTCTCATGTCTTCCATTTTTATTAATTTTATCAAGTTGGAAAACTTTTTTCTTTTTCTTCTCAACTTTTGGTTGGTTTTCAAGATTGTACTGCCACGACGAAATGCTACAAGATGGACACGAGGTTTATAGTGAGAGAGATGCACTTGTGTCCACTCAATTCATTTTCCTAAAATAAGGTGTTTTTTTTAACTCTTAACTTTTGGATGATATTGTCCTATCCAAAAAAATGAGTAACTAACTTTATTTTGCGTTATGAGAACTGTCGATTGACACTCCTTTTGTGGCTAAACGAATAATTTGGTGCAGTTTTACAAACAATTTACTAAAATGGGGTTGTTTTGAAACATATTACAACTTTGGGGTTGGTTTGTACGGTATCGCTATGGCCCATAGCGACACCAGTGACACGTGACAATATTTTTTTTGGTCTTGGTTGGGCTGGAATGAGCCACATACGTGTCGCTATAGGCTGGGTCACCACAGTTGATGGACTAAGAAAAATAATGTAGTCCATAGAGACACTCTGTAAATAAAAAAAAACGAAAATAATAGAAATGTAAAATAAAAATAATTAATTTATTTATATAAATAATTAAAATGAAGCTTATTATGAAACGAAGGATTACAATAATTTATCATTATCCCCCAAAAAAACACAGCTACACCAAGTGCATGTGCAATAGCTTTTTACAATTTATGGTCATAAATATTTGAGCATTGTGAGAGTAAATTAGTATTGTAACATATCATTTACTTCAGTCAATGCATAACCTTCTCACGCGAAGAAAGACTAATTAGGTCAAATATTGGATGGCTTGCAGTTTGGGAGCACTAGATTAATCCACCGTTAGCTTCATAACCTGAATTAACTCTTCAAGTCGTGTATGTAATGTACCATTACTTTTTTCACTCTTTTGCAGGCTATATTAAAGAATGTGTGCATGTTTAGATTAGATTAATTTTTTGAATTTTATTTTTTGGCCTAAAAGAACTCCATAATATTTCATTTGGGACTTGTTTTAGAGCTAAATAAACTAATTCAAATTTACAACAAAAACTATTTATAAATCTTCTAATTTGGTGGAGGGAAAAGAAACCTAGAGTTAGGTCACATGAAATGCAGTTAGTTAATGAAATTCATGTATATAAATAGAGTTAAATTTGAATTAAGCTTGAAATATTCTCCCCCCTCCCCTCTTTTTCCCCATTACAAAATAGTCATACCTGAAAAAGTCTTGTGTGAAGTAACTGACTTTGAGTTAACAACTTCTATTTAATTTTCTGTAAACGTTGCAACAAAGATAATGAGAAAGGATTATTCTTAGTAATAATGAGCGTTAAAAAGAAATAAAGTCACCTAAGAAAGATATAATTTCCCTCAAAATAAAAATAAAAATATAACAACTGAAACAACCCATATCAGAATTTTGTCCATTATTTTACTTGAAAAACAAAAAGTGTCGGAACAAAATCTATTTAGCTGATCCGTTTTTCATATAGAAAGAAAAAGATAAACTAAATCTGTTTAGTTTGAAAAAAACACAAGAGATTGGACTTGGACATATGCCAATCCCATCTGATTCACATACTGCCTTTGCTGTAAAACCTGTAGCAAATTCAGAGTCCGGAATTTATTTGAAATTCAAGAATTTTAAATTATAAATTTTAGTTGTACAAAATGAATACCTAACCTGCTTCTCGAATACTGAGGCCATAATACTATTTTAGAGGATATAGTGAGTAGAAGAGAGACTTTACTACCATGGAAACTTCTGCTTCAGACACTCAACCCGCCTTCCTAAACACCTCTTTATCCTTACCCAACCATGTCTCTAGAACTCTAGCACCAAAGATTGAAAACCTAGTAGAATTTTCGTATGTCCCTAAAGATGCTCAGATCTCTGAGAGCACTGTCCCCCTTCTAAGTCCATATAATATATTCAAATGTCAAAGATCTACTCTTAGATCTATCAGGCAGTTGGTCAGAACCACTCGTCCACATGAAAAGGAATATGTTCAATCTTCCAAGATGGAACAGTGTTCTTTGATGGCCACTTCTGAAGAGCAGTATGTTACTATTGAGATCACAAAGGAACTCTCAACCCGCGTTCCTAAACACCTCTTTATCCTTACCCAACCATGTCTCTAGAACTCTAGCACCAAAGATTGAAAACCTAGTAGAATTTTCGTATGTCCCTAAAGATGCTCAGATCTCTGAGAGCACTGTATAAAATTTAAAAAAAAATTAAAAACAGACTCCATGGCCCATAGCGACTTCAATTTAAAAAATTAAAAAAAAATTTAAAAAGAAAGTTCCATGGCCCATAGCGCCACACATTTTATATATATTTTTTTTTTACAATCATGACATTTTATTTTTATTTTTGCGTTTTTATATTTATAATTAAAAGTACATAAAGTAAATAATTAAAATAAAATTATATTATAATATGTTAAATTCTAAAAAACAAATATGTTATTATTTGATTTATAAAACTAAAATAACAAATATCGTAAAATTTAAAAAAAATTTAAAAAAAGTCTCCATGGCCCATTGGGACTGCAATTTAAAAAATTAAAAAAGTTTTAAAAAAAATGTTCCATGACCCATAGTGTCACACATTTTATATTTTTTTTTTGCAATAATGACATTTTATTTTTAATTTTGCGTTTTTATATTTATAATTAAAACTACATAAACTAAATAATTAAAATAAAATTATATTATAATATGTGAAATTTTAAAAAACAAATATGTTATTATTTGATTTATAAAATTAAAATAACAAATATCGTAAAATTAAAAAAAAGAATAAAAAAAGGCTCCATGATCCATAGCGAATTCAATTTAAAAAATTACAAAAATTTTATATAAAAAAAAGGCTCCATAGCCCATAGCGACTTGGATTTTTTTTAAATTTCAAAAAATAATATAATTTATTTATTTGTTATTTATTTAATTTTATAAATGTTATTTATAATTTTAATTAATTATAAAAACTAAACATATAAATATAAATAAGTTATTATTTGATTTTTAAAATTAAATTAACAAATATTGTAATATTTAAAAAATTTTAAAAAAAAGGTTCCTTGGCCCATAGCGACTTCAATTTAAAAAATTAAAAATATTTTTTAAAAAAAAGGCTCCATGGCCCATAGCGACTTCAATTTTTTTAAAATTTTATTAAATAATTTATGTAGATGTCGCTATAGGTGATGGAGACTCTTGTAGTATATATACCCCCCTCCGTTATGGTAAATCACATCGATATCTGAAGTGCAATTGTTGTTTTTGTTACTGTATTTGTTATTTATCCACTAAGTCAGTCTGGTTGGTTCTTTGGTCCTGTTAATTTGAGGTTTAGATTCTTATTTATGATTGAAATTTTTTGTAGTTTAAATAAGTTGTATATATTTGTACTAATATTTTAATTTTTCTGCAGATATTATGGATCAAATTATAGTTTATATTTACACTAGAAGGATGTATGAAAGTCCAGAAGGTGTAACATTTGATGGACCAAAAAAAGGGATGTATATTAAACGAGGTTTAACTTTGGATATATTAAAGAGAATGATTCACAACAAATTTCATCTTAAGTCAAATCAAGTTATATTATCTGTAACTTACAGATTTGTTGTTTCACAGCATGATGAGAACAGTTTGCAAAAAAATCAAGAAGAGGCTTGTTCCCACCAAGTTTGTAGATATGACATTCAAGCTTCAAAATTTGAGATTGAAGAGGCATTTGATCCAGTAAGACAAACAGGGGGAAAGAAATGGGTAGTTAATCTAAACGAACGATACTGTCAATGCGAAAAGTTTACAGCATTTCATTATCCTTGTTCTCATGTTATAGCTGCATGTGGTGTCGTTAGCATTGATTACTACCAGTTTATAGATCCAGTTTATACAACTGATTATGTTTTAAGAGCCTATTCTGGTCTTTGGGAACCAATCGGAAATGAAGACTTAATCCCTCCAAGTGATGAGGACTGGATAGTTGTCCTAGATCCAACATTTGTGCGTGGGAAAGGCCGACCAAAATCAACCAGAATTAGAAACGAAATGGACTGGGTTGAAAGCTCACAGCGACGACAAAAATGTGGTATATGTAAACAAGAAGGTCACAACAGGCGCAATTGTCCAAGAATATGTAACCGTGATGATTAGTGTATAATTTTTTTCCATGATTACAATTTTATGAAAGTTAATGAAATAGTTCATAAATATTCAATGTCTAATCCTCATCCTCCTCATCCTCCTCATCTTCCTCATCATGATGACCTACACCTCTAACAGTACCAGGAGTGAGAATGCATCGTCGTCGTCTCTCTCTTGCCGCCCTTTGAGGATTTCGACGAACATGTAGTTGTTGTGGCTCCGATGGTGGATGACTAGCCTCCGCTAAAAACTGTGGTCGCAAATCAACCCCTGTAGCATCAAATTTAAAAGACAAATTTACATTATTAATAATAAATAAAAGAAGAAAATAATGGACAAATTAATTAAATATTATATTACCTGATGTATAAGCATGACTGATATAAGCATCATCATATGAAATATGATAAGGGGCTTGCTGACTCTGCTATATGTCATCCTGTGGCGCACTTGGTTGTGGAGTTGCAAAAGGAGAATGTCCAAATATGTCCATCATTTCTGACGACATGAAGGGCTCGGGTGATGCTGCGGGCGTATCCTCTAAACCAAGTGACTGACAAATATCTGTCGTGGTCATCGGAACCGATGTCTCGAAACCTGGTGGGCGTGGTGGATGGCACCAATATGTAGTCTGGGATAGGGAAGGATAAGTGAGATCCTGTGAAGGAATATAATACATCCCTTCCGGTCTGTCTGGCACTGCAGGGTATGTGTGGTCCATAGCCTCAACTGGCGTTCTTCGTCGTGATAATCCTGCAGCCTCCCTAGAGTATGGAGGAACATTGAATGCCCCCATCTCATATGACCCAGAAGGAGGGGGTGCTTCCTTAGCTGGCTCAACGACACGTGCTACATAGTCATCAGATATCGATAATAATCGATTAGTTTTCTTTGTGACTGCCTCCAACGAAAACTCTTCTCTGCCAGGAGGGGAAGTCAAGTATGCCAAACACTCAGCTACATCTCCCTACATATACAACAAATGTCATAAATAATTAAGAACTTTATATTTAGACAAAATAGTGTATTAAAATATAATTACTAAAGTGCACATACCAGAACTGACTCTTTAACTTCATCTGGATCAATGTGCAGCTTCCCTTTCCTCCGGTACCCATCATGTATTCTGAATTCGGACCTAATAGTCCGACCTGTGGAGGAGTAGATGTGAAGTGATATGCATATTGATGATCCCAATGCTCTAATGCTGGACTTAATATTGTAGCCCATTCATCTTCAACCTTACCGCGTAAGGTCAATGCATGCACATTCACAAATACAGAGACAAAGTAAGAGGATTACAGAACCCCAAATCTGCATCCCCTATGTGCAATCACCGGGCATCTGTTCAACAGGGGGGATATGGTTGCCAAATAATCTGTAAAATATAATTTTTAATTAGTAAATATTAAAATACAAATAATTTAGATAAAAAAAATTTAAAACTACAAAACGTTAATTACTTACAGATTTCCTAGTAGTACGATCAAAGTATTTGCGATAAAATTTTATATCATCGCTCATACTTATTTTGGTCGTTGTGTTTGACCACCTGAAAAAACAAATTGTAAACAATTAAATAATGTTTAATTAACTGATTAATTGTCAAAATGTCAAGTTTCAAATTTGCTCGTACCTTAAACCAATTGGACTGCTTGGAGGAATAGGTGGCAATGGTGAAGACAGAATGGTTGGGAATCATTCCCATGCCCATAACTGTGATAAAAGGGTAAATCCACCGCAGGTTGGGGTTTTGTAATCGGTTGAGGTGCATAAATTCCGATACAAAGATCCAAGCACAGTTGCACCCCATGCATAAGTCCTAATAATATCAAAGTCGCGCAAAAACACCAACCACCGTAAGGACACATACGACGAAGATCTATCGGGAACAAGCACTCCTCCTAGATAACGTAATATTCAGGCTCTAGCATAACGAACCAACACATGTACATCATCTATGTCATCAGCAATGTCCCCAAAGTTTGCTGCCAACCAAGATAGCCTCAAGCCATGTCCTTTAATTTCAGACTGCGGTGAAACAACCCCTAACAACTCCTCAGTTGCATAAAATCAAACAAAAAATTTAACTATTATTATTATAAAAAATATACTATAAATTTACAAATAAGTTAAAGTCAAGTTATAATTACCCAATTCCAATATATTTGCACTGCCTCGAGATAATATCGGTTCACCGTCAACCGGAAGACCAACAAGCATGCCAATGTCTTGAAGAGTAATTGTGCACTCTCCGAATGGCATGTGAAATGTGTGTGTCTCTGGTCTCCATCGCTCTACCAAAGCCGTTAGCAAACCAGGACTAACTTTGATATAATTAAGACGCACTATCCATCCGAAACCAGCTTGATCTAGTAACGGAATTATTTGTTGTGGAACTCCCGCAATTCCAGTGCGCGTTGGAGCAGCACGTCGTGCTATTAATCTCCTGTCATCTTCTCTGTTCCAAACATGCTGTGACACATGTATATTTTGCAACGATAATAAATCATCGTCAACGGGTCCACATGTGACACGCATACCCCTAGAAGATGATGACGTCATCTATAACAAAATCTAATAAAATTAATTATTTTTGAACACATAATTTATTTTTTTAATTTAATTAACATGATATAATCTATACGCAAATAACACACTAACAACCTTAAAAAATATATGTATACACATCAATAAATTACACATAATCAAAATATAGAATTTTAAAATAAATCACAATTATATCAATTTAAAATTGAAATATCATTTTTTATACACAAAAATAAATTAAATCAGCTTAAAATTTAAATAAATTTTTTTAAAAATACATATAAATTAAACAGAATTAAAATAAATCAATTTATAATTTCAATATACTTAATTTTGAAATAAATATAAATTACACAGAAATAAATTAAATCAATTAAAATTTTTAATATAATTATTTTTTAAATAAATATCAATTACAAAGAAATAAATTCAATCAATTTAAAATTTAAATTAAATTATTTTTAATTAAATATAAATTACACAGAAATAAATTAAATCAATTTAAAATTTAAATATCATTATTTTTTAAATAAATATAAATTAAACACTAATATAACTAAATAAATTACACCGAATTAAATTTATTAAATTTAATATTTAAATATACTTTTTTTAAAAATAGATTATTTAAAATGATATAGGCTTTGGCCACTTCACAAACAGAAAAAAATATACTCATAATTAAATAATTACACATAATTAAATTATAAAAATTAAAATTTAAATAAAGTCAATTTTTATATAATTTATTGAAGATAATATAGTCCAAAGCGACTTCACAAACACGAAAAAATATACTAACAATTAAATAATTACAGACAATTAAATTATAAAATCTAAAATTTAAATAAAATATGTTTTTATATAATTTACTTAAGATGATATAGCCCATAGCGACTTTCAAAAAATTACACAAAAAAATATAAATATAACAAATTAAATTACAATAACTAAAAAAATAAATACAATTAATTAAATTACAGAAAATAATAAAACACAAAATACCTCAAAGACAAAATACCTCAAAGACAAAATACCTCTGGAGATCTACGGAAATCCAAAAAAACAAAATTAACCTGAAATATATAATAATTAAAATATATATATGTTACAAAATTTTTAAAAATAACAAAATAATTTATAATTAAATTAAACAAATGAAAAAAAATGCTTACCTGAACTGCACTCGCTGGCCGAAGGAACGAAAGTGAAAGAAGTGGGGGACCATCACTGAAGGTAAAAAACTGTCTTATATACACGTTATTTTTTTTTTTTACTATTTCAGGCCACATGTCAAATTACTATTGGTTCAAATCGGGGTAATTTGACACGTGGCTACGGGATAATAAATTTTTTCAACTAACACAAGGGTCGCTATAGCCCATAGTGCCTCAGTGCCGCTATGAGCCATAGCGCCCCATTTTTTTTTTTTCCTTTTTAAAATATTTTCACATTATATTACTATATATATGATTTGATAGTGGAGAGTAGCACAAACAGCATCAGCGGTCTGGGCAGCTCCGGTTATCTGGACTTGGACCTTTAGTCTCTCTGGTACAGTGAGGTCTCTTAAGCTAACATTGTAATTGGGGAACAATGTTAGAACGACACTTCCGGCGTGAAGTGTAGTCAAGACCGTACCAATCACAACATTTTCGTAGTGCAGATAGCTAGTATCTAACAGGGAGATCCTTGAGGAGACAGGAAGTCCTCGTCTCCCATGGAGTGTGAGCATAAACCTAATGGCCCCGTAGTGAAGATGGGTGTATCCATCGGTTCTCCAGTGTCAGATGAGTTCCTTTGGGATCTCAATAGTAACATACTGCTCTTCAGAAGTGGCCATCAAAGAACACTGTTCCATCTTGGAAGATTGAACATATTCTTTTTCATGTGGACGGGTGGTTCTGACCAACTGCCTGATAGATCTAAGAGTAGATCTTTGGCGTTTGAATATATTATATGGACTTAGAAGGGGGGCAGTGTCTCAGAGATCTGAGCATCTTCAGGGACATACGAAAATTCAACTAGGTTTTCAATCTTTGGTGCTAGAGTTCTAGAGACATGGTTGGGTAAGGATAAGGAGGTGTTTAGGAAGGCGGGTTGAGTGTCTGAAGCAGAAGTTTCCATGGTAGTAAAGTCTCTCTTCTACTCACTCTGTCCTCTAAAATAGTATTATGGCCTCAGTATTCGAGATTGTTAGGCTCTGATACCAATATGGCCGAGAGCCTTATAGACCTATGATTAATTTGACAGGATACAAGAACGAGCTTACTCTTTCGGCATTGCTCAGATCTCTGAGACACTGCCCCCCTTCTAAGTCCATATAATATATTCAAACGCCAAAGATCTACTCTTAGATCTATCAGGCAGTTGGTCAGAACCACCCGTCCACATGAAAAAGAATATGTTCAATCTTCCAAGATGGAACAGTGTTCTTTGATGGCCACTTCTGAAGAGCAGTATGTTACTATTGAGATCCCAAAGGAACTCATCTGACACTGGAGAACCGATGGATACACCCATCTTCACTACGGGGCCATTAGGTTTATGCTCACACTCCATGGGAGACGAGGACTTCCTGTCTCCTCAAGGATCTCCCTGTTAGATACTAGCTATCTGCACTACGAAAATGTTGTGATTGGTACGGTCTTGACTACACTTCACGCCGGAAGTGTCGTTCTAACATTGTTCCCCAATTACAATGTTAGCTTAAGAGACCTCACTGTACCAGAGAGACTAAAGGTCCAAGTCCAGATAACCGGAGCTGCCCAGACCGCTGATGCTGTTTGTGCTACTCTCCACTATCAAATCATATATAGGCTACAGTCCCATGCGATCAATCTGGCCTTACCCAGTAGCAATGATAGTGCCTTGTTTGTTCTTGCAAACCAGGCAGAAGAGAGCCCATCAATCGTCCAGGTTCCCAGGAATATCTCCAGGGAACAGCTGAAGGAGCTCATCCCATTACAATGGGTGACAAATGATGAGAATCTCCACAAGCACCATGTCAAGCCAATTCAAACGGATCAAGCAACTTTCAGAAGATCCGTCGACGGAACAGTCAGAACAATCTTTCAGCAACCTGAGAAAGCCTCAGGTCCAATTTTCCAAACAATGATGTTAGAACCCTTCGTCAAATAAAAAAGAATTCCCATCTTTGCGGTACATAGTGTCACTATAGCCCATAGCGACACCGTAGAAAACAGCCTCAAAGGTGTAATATGTTTCAGAACAACCCCATTTTGATCAAACTCTATTTTTAGATCACTATCTTATGGTTTGTGTTTCATTATTTTTGTTTTGATCAAACTCTATTTTTAGATCACAATCTTATGCTCACATTCAAATTCTATCGCTCACTGTAATTAGTTACAACAAAAGAAGAATAAAAGAAGAGTAATAAATGTCAATTTTTTAAGTGTTTATAGTTCTCTCAAATTTCAATTTAGTAGTCACTATAGAGTTAAGAGTATATATAAAAACACAATAATATCACATCAAACTCAAACATAAGTCAGTTCCAAAGGTTTGAATTTCCCACTCAAGTTCCTCTCATATGTTTCACTATCATAATGCAAAGCTCCTTTATTGTGTTCGCTTCCTCCTTTTTTATTCGTTTCTACTGGCACCTAACAAACTCAAAAAAATTGTACTTTAAATAAAATCTTTGTAATATTCTAAATTTATTAGGACCATTTTTTTTCTTCTTATATCTTATTTTTATGAGCAAATTATATTCTACTAATTTTATTTAAATAACACTACTTTAAATATATTTTTATTGATCTTACAGAAAATTTAAAAGACAGAATAATTAAAGTCTAGGAAACCAAATGCCCAATGCATCAGCTAATAACAAGGAACTAATCTGATGAAGGCAAGAATCATAGATAAGTAAATCTTGGAGGTCGGAAGATCCTTGCTTGGCTAACCAATATGCATTGACTTCTCTATAAATGTGGTGGAAACAGATACTCCAAGGCTCAGAAACAAGTCAATAATATGATTTCCCTACCTTGGCCCATGTTATAAAAACCGACTTAAACTAGCCAAACCAATCAAGCTTTATTGAACAAAACATAATATTTGTGATCAATGCATCTAAATCCATTTTTTTTTTACTAAATTGAAATGAATGAGTGACCCAACAAATTTAAAAATGAACTGATATGTTGTGATTTCTCAAGTAGTGTTTGGTAGTGAAACGGGATAGAACGGAATGGAACAAAATAATAATATACTTATATTGTGATTGGTAACAACAGAACAAAACCATGTGTTATATTTTACGTTTGGTGCTTATTGAACATAACTGAACATGATATTTAATTACATATATATTCATATCCTATTTAATATATGATTGAGTATAAATAAATAAAATATAATAGAATATTTTTTCACATTTACTATTTTATTACTATTATATATTTTTAAAAGTTATTAATATATTTATATTTATATTTTATAATTATTTTTTAAATACGTAAATATGAAATATTTGTTAAAATATAATTAACTTAAATATATTATTATTACTATATAAAAAAGTTTCAAATAAGAAAATTATATTAAAATTTTCACTTGCAAAGTTTCAAATAAATGCATTCATCATAACAATAATGACATTGTTCTCATGTCAAAAAATAAAACCAAACATCAAGTTTCAATATCATAAAAAATTATTAAAAAAAATACCATAAAATAAAATAAAACATTGCCTAGGGCAATATTTCTAATGTAACTACTATATTCTAAAGATCTTTCTTGATTTTTTTTTCACAAACTCATTAATCAATATAAGTGTTGTCTCACACATTGCAAGAATGTTAATGTACATCCTCCAACAATAAAAGAAGGCTAAAACACGAAAATGTTCCATTCAATGCCTACTAAAAAACCAAAATAAAATTAGACAACAAATTCAATAGCCATGCAAATCAAATTTACTAAAAAAAACATTAAATTATTTGTTGATATATATATATATATATATATATATATATATATATATGTATAATAACATTAATTTGATTTGAATGGTCCAGCATTCTCTCTATTAACAAATGATAGTAATTCAAATGATCAATAATTTTTATGATGCAAATAACAAGTACAAAAATTTCAATGATGCAAATAACACAATAAAAGAGAAAAAAAACGTTGTCCTTGAATGCAGTGAGAGTAACAAACAGTGCAAAGAGAGGGGAAAAAAATAGCAAACAATGTCGAACAAAAAGGATGGCAGCAAAGATTTTATTTTTTAATTGAATGTGTGATAAAAGAATTATAAAGTTAAAGAATGGTAATTTTGTCATTAAAAAATGTTTAATAAAATATTTTATCTTATTCTAATTGGTTCCAGTCCACCTTTTATTAAAGAACAAAAATGTTCTGCTATTTTAATCCTATATTTCATTTTGTCCATTTTAATTTCATCAAACAAGAAATAGAACCCATGTCCCATCCTGTCCTAACATGTATTCCAAACACAATATTATTAAATAACTACTCAATTAAATGTGTGAATTATTATAAACTTACTGAAATTATTCATTAATTCAAATAATAACTCAACACTGTAACTAAGTTGCTATTCGATAACCAATTCAAATTTGTTTAAATTAATCTAAGATGATTTTTAATTGATTATATATAAAAAATATTCCGTAAACTTGTCAAAATCATATTTTTAATCGATTGTTTCTGAACATTATAAATGAATATAATGGAACACATGTCAAGTTACAGCAAAAGCATCCTACTCCTTATAAGCAATTTTTTCCTCTTTTCTTTATTATGTAAATCAAATGGTATACAAATTAATTTAACATAAAAAATAAAAAATAAAAATTACAAGAATAAACAAATAATTCCCCAGGGTTGGGTAACTGCAATGGCTCCTCGAGCAGAAACAATGTAGAACCTAGTTCATAAATTTCCTGCAATTAGGGGCTTTACAGAGACAGGGAACCTTGAGTTCATCCCGCTCATCTGGATCGAACAAGTAATCATACCTGTTGCAACATTGAAAAGCGAAAAAACATGTCAGACTAATTAAGATCTTCATTCCTTAAAAAAAGGAAAAAAGCATCTAGTATGTTGTGTGACACGTTCAAAATGAATGATTCTTTATGTGCACACACATCAAAAGATATACAAGCACAACAAACCGTACGTTAGTTCTTCACCAGCTGAAACATTGGTCTTGGCAATAAGAACAATCCGGCTCTCCTGATCACCCAAACATATAATCCTTGCAAAGCAGTTTGGCATGCACTGTAGCAGGACAGGTTGATTCATAAAACTTTACATAAACATAAAATTTATAATTTAACATCAATATTTTCCACATTTTATTCTTTCCTTTTTTGGCTCACAGGGGAAATAAAGTTCAAGAAATCCAACTAGCTTCAGCGTAAAACCAAAGTCCAAAGACAAGATTCGACAGAAATAACTTACAGAGTGGTTTATTAAACGTGCAATATTGCCCTTATCCGTTGCGTCAACTACAACTTCCTCACTAATCTTGAACAGCTGCATGATTTATTTCATTCGACATTAAGACCAGCAGTACAATGAAATGAATGAATCCTAACAATAACAGTAAACATGAACCATCTACAACAGGAATTTAAACAACATGAACTAGGAATACAGATGGAACATGGTAGAATAGGTAGTACACCAAGGTTCAAGTCGCAATTCCCCATATCCCCCAACTAAAAAATTTAGCATCGGCAGTTTGGCAATCTTGGAAAGAGAAAGAGAATCAATTCCCATGTTTAGAACACATGAAAAATGGATCTGTTTAAAATACTCTATTTATCTAAAATCAAAGCTTGACACGGGTCTCAATATTTCCCAGGATTTCTAAATATAAACCATTTAAATCTTTGGGATTTCAGAAAATAATTAATTCATCATTTTTAATTGTGAAACAGACAGCAAGTGAAAACACAAAATTTGAGTCACCAATCAAATGAAATCTCATTTTATCGTAATACAATGTGAAGCAGCACACAACAAGTGGCAATGAGTACAGTACAATACAGATAGATATCAAAAACAATCTTAGACAAGATACTCACATAACAATCTTTGCCTTCTGAACGATACTTTGCCTCCCTTAGGTCAGCAATACTACGCCGTACCTGCTCACCACGATATTCAACAACCTGTAGACAGGCATAAAAAGCATGTGTATATTATTGCCTTTCAAGGAAACTCGGGTAAGTATTTAACTTACACTTTTGCAACCATCTTAAATAAGTAAGTTACCATTTCTCCTTCTTGTAAATCTCTACGAGCAAAGAGGCCCCATCCTTGAATACCTGATTTTCCTAGGCAAATTCTTTGAATTTCTGTTTTCTGCAGCTCAAAACATTAAAGGTTGACCAAAACGGGGGAAAAAATGAGATAAAACTTTAATTTAAAGCAAAAATTAACAAATGGAAATGAAGTTTTAATTTGAGCAGATGGAGAGACTAACTAACCCGTAAATGGTGAAGACGTTCCTTAAGAGAAGAAAACACTTGAGCATCCTATCACAGAACAATATTACAACTTAGGAGATACTTTTTCTACTAAACGGGAAAAAGCTATTCATGTGGACAGCTCAAAAAGACTAGTTAACCATTTCAAAAGCAATAAGTCGAACACCAAAACAAGAATACCTTATTGCTGTTCAATTGAGATATTGCGCTTAAAGAATGAAGGATTGGCCCCCCAAGCAAGTGCAGTATTGGCGCATGATCCTTCTGGCAATGTAGAGGAAAATTATTGAATGAGACCAAACTAAACAGATTAGATAATGTAAGTAAATAATAGTTTACATCAAATCCAGATTATAGTATTTAGACTCCGATACAGCAGAAGTACCGGAGAGGACTACGACCATAAAACAAAGACTACAGAAGTTATATAATATTATGGCCACAATAGAATGTTGTAAGAAATCACCTTATTGGAAGACCTTTTGTACACACGACACCTGGCAGAAGACAGTGGGTCAACCTCGTGACTATCAGAGGTTGAAGGTTCAAGGAGTTCTACATCGTTTGATGAAACCAGCCTTGATCCCCTGAAGCACCCCGGGTGATTTTGAAGCGAAGTTCTCGGTGAGAATACGCCCGTGGGTGTATGTACAACCAGTACTGAATCCGGGTTTGGGACCCTAAAATGATACTGACTTATATATAAACATTCTTAAAAAAAAATGGAAAATAAGTTATTGTAATTTAGTGACCACATCTCAAACCTGTGAATTGCACAATATATTAGCGTCTTCGTTATTTGAGTCCCATTCTTTTCTGTCGAATGCAACTGTAAATTTAATCAATATCAACATATGCCCCGGCTGTGGTAATCATCATACAATTAAATTCTAACTTCCATAGGAATTTATCTATAGATGAAAAGCTTAATTAAGCAAGTTAAGAAGTAAAAATGAAAGCAGTTTTAGCACATTGATTGGTTCATATTCAAAAGGACCGTTAGACTTACTTCCATGCCATATCCCATTCTTGACGCGCACATCACATGAAAATATGTAGCACATTTGCAACAACTTGTACAGGAACCGTGGCTTTGTTTACAGATCACGCAAGTCTGTCGTCAATATAGGCATTTAAACATTAAATAATGAATCTAAGAGATTGCCCGCATCCGAGCCCAATGAGAAAAGGGAGAGCCAAAAGATTAAATAATAACCTAACAACTATCTTTCTGATTTGTAAGAATAAAATCATGCGGAGTGTTTCTATTAGTGTTGAATTGTAGGTAGAAGAAAATTATATGGTGCATGTCCAAGCTATTATTTTGCTGTTAGTGTATAATTAATTAATTACTGTTGAGTGGAAAGTGTTTTCGAAAACTAATTTGCTAATGAATGAGTTCTTTGTTGGTATATGAAATTATCAAAATAAAAATTATGTTGTATGATTGTAATTTTTTTATATTACCGAGTGTACTCTGCATGGTTATCAAAACAAGAATGTCCTTAGGTACCGCGAGAAAGAATATTATAGGCCTGCAGCTGAAACCACCTGACAAAAAATTTCATGCAGACCTTACCTTCTTGAAGGAATTTGGAGGAATCTTAAGGATTCCAGAGGCCGGTTCCATTGCCTCGTGATTTTGGAAGAGAATTTCAGGCCGAAACCAAGCGCATGTTACATGAACCCACAACATCTCGACATCAGTTGGCTTCAGAGCCCCACCTGCAAAGCATTTCCACCATATTGTAAAAGCAGATTGAAGCTCATTGGAGGATTCTCCTTAACTATGTAAAAATGAGCTAAATTAATTGCAAGCATAAATTGGGGTACAGATTGATGATCCAACAAAATTAAGCCAATCTTGATATGCATGAAAACAAGTCCATTTCTCGGTGAAAAATTAGCGCATTGAATCCATCACTTACTTCTGTCATAAAGAATTTAACGGAACAGCATGTGAAACAACAAAAGCAGTTAGACTGCAAAAAGTACTAGATGTAAATGACATGCCTTTTACTGGGCAGAGGCAACACTCTCTCTCAACATCAGGAGTTTCACAGACTCTACAAACCCAGGAAGTAAAGTCCTGAACATTCTTTGCCCCGTAGCATTCTTGGTGGACAGCAATTTGGCACCTGCACAATAAACAAGTGTACATAACGTAATTGATAGTTCATCCTTTGAAGCCCTGTAAGTTAGAAACGAAACTTAAACATATCCATCATGGCTCTACAGCTTGGGCCAAAGATCATGAACAATGATGAGAGCACCTGTTACAGATAATAATTTTGTTATCTTCCCAATCTTCAACCCATCTGCAAATGGCACATCTTTCTGTTGTCCACTTTGCATGAACTGGTTCGTACTTCTCTGAGAAAATATGGTAAAAGTAAAATTAGTTTCTCCCTTTTGAATATATATTCAACAGAAGACATGTGACTTCTGTATGCCATAAGACCTGATCGCATGAGAAATGGAATCCTCAAAATGTAAAACAGTAAAAGTTTATATGAAATACACATTCACCTTGCAAAAGGTTGAGTATTTGTTGCTGATCTAACTGCTGCGGGATTCCAGCTTGGGGATTGTGTTCAATGATCTGAAGAAATTTTTATTGTTTGTTAAAAATATAAGAAATAAACACATTATATGGAAATATAAAGGCACGATATACACACATTACAGAACTATAGCTGCATACTTGAAAATTGGGAGATGTTTGAAATAAAAGTGAAGTAGATACTAGATAGGCTAAAGTAATCCAAGTGAGAGTAAAAATTCTTCATGATTGTTAATACTAAAACCCCGACAGACATAATTCACCAGAAATATTTGTCGTGCATCTAATACAAGAACTGACACGAACCCATTTTATTAGTGGTTGCATTGTGCCTTCTACTTTCACACTATATTTCCATTTTCTGGCTTTGCAACCTGCATGTCTTTCCCATTCAGTAAGTGCCTGCTTCCTTGAACCACACAAGCCACACTTGCACTTAATCCTGTAAGAAAATTTAATAAAAAGTTAATCACCTAAAGTTATTTCACTGGTTCTCAGATAGGACAATTATTTGCTTGTGAACCTATCCAGGTAGGTTAACAGACTTAGAATCTAGATTGAGGGTAGTTTCATGTCCATAATATAAAAAGAAGTGTTGAAGGCTTACATATGAAGTTTTGGAAAATAGATTCCTTCCATGCCATTGCATACCACCGCTAGATTTTCAGGTAATACAGGTTTTTGGCTATTCTCCGTTGATCTATCTCAAAAAATATCACATCATGAGATTCAAAGAATACAAGTCAAGATACCCAGTGCCCCTAAAATAATGGGAAAAGGAAGCAATAAATAATTTCTACATACATAATTTTTGACTTGTATCTTTGTGATGTTGATAATTTACAATTGAATTTTCCCTTGCAATCTGGGCAATAGTAATCCATATTTTCCAGATCCTGCATTAAGAAACAAATCAGTCGTCATAATATTTTTTATCAAAGGAAATCAAACAAGAAAGAAAATAATGAAAAGATGAATGTATCGCTGCGCTAAACATGACATGATACCTTGAAAAGTTTGCTGGAAATCTTGTCACACTCAGCATGCACCCAAACATCACAACCATCACAGCATACCTGTCAGAGTTCAGCCCCACAAGATCTCAAAAATTTGATTTTTTTATTGAAATTAAATGAATTAAATTAAACAGACACCTTGAGAAAGTAGACAAACTCACCCAATTCCCACCATCTGAATGGTGCCAAATCTTTTTGCAAATGCCACAATATTGTTTTGATTTTAGCAACTATTATGACAACCCCAAAAAAAAGGTAATTAAATGTCAGCAATAAATTTATCCAGTCAAGAAATTGAAGATATCTAGAATGAGCCATGACAGAACCTTTGCACAGGGCTTACAATAGTGCTGAGGAGCACTCGAGTCCTTATTCTTCTTCATGGTTTTGCATGGCAACATCAAACCACAGCCAGCACAAGATATTGTATCCTGCATAATTTATTCACTGAATAAAAAATCTAGAATTAACCAGACTCTAAGATTGAAAGATAAATTCACTAGAAATTACCCTTATTTATCATACAGATATATTGAAAGAGATGAAAGACTTTAAAAGGTTTTCACCAAAACAAAGAGTGAAAAAGGGTTTTACCCAGACCGGCCAACTCATCCCCAGTTTACACAAATATATTGAACTATATGCTTCAGTTTACATAACCATGTTAATGTATATGATTTTGCTATTGAACAATACCTAAGGAATCAACAAATAAAAGGTTTTTATGGAAAATCACGATAGAGATGTATCGATAACCTTGAATGAAAATTTTCCATTTTTGATTTCTTAACAGTTGCCTTAACGTATATACTAAACTTGGAATGAATAAGAATAATGCTTTGACACAAACAGTGTGACATAACACTAACAGTATGTGTATGCCACTATATCAAAGGCGTGTCTCTGACGTCTACATGATTATGAAACATCACAAGAAAATATTTTAAAACAAACTGTGATCAGTTTCACTTCACATGCTGGGCTCAGAATCTCTTATGTGTGACTGATACCATTGAAAATTCATAATAGTATTAGTCCCTCTGATTTTGCATTTTGGGCCATTAAAAAAATACTCATTCCTATTATAGCATGCATAATTTAAACTCTTGAAGTAGTCAGTCACTACGCAAGAGACTAGAGCGTTTATAGCATTAGGCACTCACTCCTAAGTCCTTTGTCCATCCTACTAAGATGAATATCAACTAATGCAGTACAGCCTCTGTCACCTATATTACAAGTCCAGAACATAACTGGACCTCTTTCTTAAACTAGATGAAGCTTATAGATACTCTCATTATCAGCCTCGCCCATGATCATACGCAAGACAAAGTGGAAGATATAAAATCACCTGGTCTTGATAGGAATGTTCCTGGTAATCATGGCCAACACAGGAATCTGCACCCTCCATAATTTGCTCAGCTCCCAAGTGTGAGTCCAAAATGCCTTCTTCTGCCAACATTGCCTCCTCTAATGCCTTTTGAAAATCATTTGCTTTACTTTTGTACAATCGGATCTGCCTCTGGAATCTAAAGAAAGGCAATTTTTATAAGTAAAAACCAAACCTTCTTGCAGAAACAACTGTAGATGATACACACCTGTCCATGAATTCCAAGAAAGGGAATATCATCCCTTGCTTCACCCACGCATAGTCCTGCCATTATCATTCTTTTAGAAATACTTAACACTGAAAAAATACAATAAAAAAACTCAAGTCTATGAACACACACAGGGAAGAAATTTAAAACATGTTTGATCCCCCTTCTCACTTGTTGGTTCTTAAAACATTTTTTCTGAAACATTTATACATTATACTCGGCAATCAATTTCCCATCCAAAATTATTTTCAAACAAGTGTTTTAAAAAACCAGAAGGCAAAGGCACTGAAAGATATCAGAAGCCACAATTTGCACCACCCTACCTTCTGTCGAAATAAATTTCTCTAGAAACACTTCTGGGATAAAATAAATTGTCATAATTTAAAACGAATTTATCCTTAAGTTAGAAATAAGATTTTAGAAAAATTAATGAAAAAAACACTTTTATAAATTAGCTTAAACATAAGTTAATTTTAACTTATCAAGAAACTTGTTTCATATATACTTTCTATTTTTCTCTCTTAGAAATATCCAAAAAGATCCTAGTACAGTACCTTTTTAAAAAACTAAAAACAGTTTCTAAAAATAGAAATCAAATACAGTCTTACCCTTTGTTTTCCATTTTTAGAATAACCAAAAAACATAACACAGAGTGCACCAGGAACACAAAGGCTCAAGACGGATTTGGGAGCTTTCAAGAATGGATCAATCACTAGGGCAGGCCAAGCAGGGTAGCTCTTCCCACATTTTGCCCAAACTATATCATCCAGAGAAAATTCTTCTAATCTGTAAATGTCCTTCTTCCTTTTATCAATTCCATCCACACCCTCAATATTGGAACTAAGTCCAGGAGCGTTACTCTTTTCTTTAACCAATAATGAACGACTTCCATTAACCATCGTTTTAACGGTCTTAACGGAATACTCAAAACGGTCAAACTCAGCAGAATGTGAAAAACGAATAGAATCTCTTTTACTTCTCTTGTCAACATCTTGTAAAGCGTTCTCATCTTGAAACCCGAAGTGATTGTAGAGAATTGAATCGTTGAACTTGCGAGGAAGTTTCTGAGCGCGACCACTGGAAGACCGGGGTTGAACTTGAAGCTGAACTTCTTCCGATTGCGCGGTTTGAAATTTAATTGTGCCATTCAAGTCTACGGAATTTGAATTAGACTCGACCGCACTGGATTCAGACACCCCTTCAGCAGAATAAAGCTCATTCACTTTCCGCTTCTTCGGAATTTGAATCGCGGGGTTCTCGCGGTCTTTTGGCTTACACCGTTTGTGCTTTATTCCGGTTTTCATACTCCGCTTGACAATCATCTTCAAAACCCTAACTTCGAATAAGAAAGATGAAGCTCTGCCTGTAGAGTGTGTATAACACAAAAAATGGATCTGTCTAAGAAACAACGTAAGAAAGGAGCAAAGTTAATTTATGTATTGCTATATAATGACTTTTATTGAAAATATATTTGTTTGATTTGATTCAACAAATGAAAGTAAAGAAAAAGAAATATAGATGGAGGTAATGGCTGGTGATGGTTGTGTGGCATTTGAAGAAAGTAGGCAGAACAACGAAATTCGCAAAATTGACGAAAGCGCGAATTCTCAATTTTCTTTTTTTGGCGCGATGGCGCCAACATTTGGGGGTTACATGTCATTGTCAGTAAACACTGCTGCTTTAGTTTTTTCAGTTACACAGCTGGTTTTATGTTTTTTTTACTAAAGGTGTCATTTTAAAAAAAATAATTAAAGATTTTACTGTTAAAATTAAAAATTTAGTAATCACATCTTCCTCTATTTCTTTCCTTTATTTTCATAGTTTTTTGTTTAAAATATTTCAAATAAGATATATAAAATATTCAAAAAAAAATTATATAAGATTTTTTTTTTCATTACACTCTTTGTGTGCATGAATGTAGGTTAGTATTTTTAAGTATGCATTCTTTTATATTAATTTTTTATTTTAATTTTAATTTTAATAAAAATATACTAAAGTATATTTTTATCACACAAATTTAAATAAATCACACATGTTTGAAATAATTGGCATATTTAACATTGTCAGTGTAAAATAGGTTTTTAAATAAGTTAGTAAGGATTTTGTAGATTATATTTCTGAAAATTTCAAATCAAATCAAACTAATTTATTTCATAAAAGTAGATTGGTTCATTTTTTAAAATATAGATCATTTTTTTAAAAATTAGATTAATGTAGTGTGGTTATTCACTTTATACCCATACTCATGTCATTTTTTAGCAAATTAAATCGATTCACTTTGTAAAAAATATTCAAATAACCAATTTGATTTTACAAAGTGGATCTCAAAATGAATAATTTTTTTCAATATAAATCAATTGGATTATGGATTAGTTTGAATTTTTTGCATACTCCTATACGATAATAGGTCAAATTAGGCCTTCAAAGAGGTTTGGCTTAGAAAAAAACTTATGATCAATAATAAACTAAACTTAAATTTTAATCTAGTATAACATACCCAACTTTTATATTTAAAGTATAGTCTAATCTACCCTGTTTTTATCTTAACTTGTAGTTTTTTTTTTTTTTTTTCATTAGGAATTGTCACAATCTTGTTTAAATAATTCCACACATAGTTAATTTTATCATGTTATATCACAAAAGTTGTGAAAATCATTAAAATAAGTATGAGACTAATATTTTTATTAAATGAATGTAATGTTTAGTAATTTCTCACAACTCAATAAAAAACTACAAAATTAATAATAACTTAAAATAACATATTCTTACTCATATAAATATATTTTATAGTAATTTCAATCATGATAATTACATCAATGTTTGTTATTATCAAATGACACAATAGTCTTTTATTTCTCTCCATGTTCTATACATACTAACTTTTTTTCTTAGTAGTTTAAGCAAAGGACTTGCCTAATTAATTTTATCTTTAAACAATTATTTTATAACTTTATCATATATTATCTCTCTATTTTTAATTATAATATTCGAGTGATCTTATTGTTGCCTCTTAACTATCACAATAATAAGTATAAAAAAAAAACTACCAAAACAATATAATAGTGTCATAATTTATAGTTCATGTCTATTGATATTTTTTCTACCTTAAATTGTGAATCACAATGTCAACCATATCCATTTTGTTATTGTAAATATGACTTGTTTTATAAACTTTCAGATAATTTGTATTTGTTATCTCAGTGCGATGCACTTCTATCAACCAAAAACTATAATAGTTTCTCATTCACATTGTATAATTGCAAAATTTCTGGAAAGAATGATAAAATAAAACTCAACATTATTTTTAAAATAAAAATTATACTTTAGTTCAAAATTGGTCATTTTTTCACACTGTTCTCAAAGAATAACTAAATTTATACTTGCTATCACGAACTCTATGATTTTCAATCAACTATATTATTTTTTATTTAAAAATTATGACATTAATATGAAAATATCATTATAAAAAATAATGATTAATTTTTTCCAAAAATAATGAATATACAAAAATTCTTAATTAAATTTAAAATCCAAATTATGACAATGAATACACATAAACAAGTTAATCAAATACTATGTGAATATATTAGTATCAACAACACAACATAAAATTTCAATGAATTGAATTTAAGATCCTAAACCCTAAACATGTTTTATATACTTTTATTTTTAAGTATCTCAATAAACCCAAAAATCATAGGAGTACAATTAAAAATAAACAATTTTTCAAAATAATTTATTCCGAATCAAAGCCAAAATAACTCAAAACTCTCCCCCATCTAATCATTATTTAGAGTATATCAAAATAAAATGACATCTCATTAACATCCAACAATTGAGATTGGTGAAATAAAAAGTACTAATCAATAAATTAATAGAACTTAGAGTGGTACCTTAAGTCCTCAAAATTATTGTTGTAGGTAGGACAATCATGAACCACAATCCGATCTGAAATCCACCAAATCAAATTATCATAAGAGAAACATTTTGAGACATATGATAGACACAAGTTATTTACATGGTAGTCATTCAATATTTAACAAGCTCCTTCTCTCATGCTCTTCTAACTTCTTTTTTTTAGGCAATGGAACTAGCAACTTGCTCTATACTACCATGAGAATTAAGAAATTTTGGAGAAGAGAAAGAGTGAGCCGCGGCTAAGAAGTAGGGTTCATTATAAAATATTATATATATATATATATATATATATATATATATATATGATTTAAATAAATACAAAAAAATTTAAAATATTAATGAATAATTACTAATTGAATGTTAGAAATAAATGGATAAAAAAAGTCAACGCCGTAAATTAAAAATATTTATAAATGATATAAATTTGAATTTAAAATAATCATTAAAAAATTAATAAAATTTATCGTTTCGAAATATCTAAATAATACAACACTCTTCATTTAATATTTTAATTTAGTAATAAAATGTTAAAGTGATATACACGAGATCTTAAGTTTGAATATTAATATAATTATGATAAAAGAAAAAAAATTATATATATACATATATATATATATATACGGCTTAAATATATTTTTAGTCTTTCAAATTTATGATAAATTTATTTTTTGTCCCTCAAATTTAAAATCGATGTTTTTAGCCCCTGTAATTTAAAAAAAAAATTGTCTTTATATTCAAATTTTGTTAAGAAATTTATCAAATATTATTGCATAAAATCTATCTATCGGTGTCTTTATTAGTAAAAATATCATATTAAATTCAATTGATATTACATAATTGTTTTAATTTATTATTTTCGTATATGATATTGGTGATTTGTGGGACTAAAATAAGATTTTTGAAAATTACAGGGACTAAAAATAACAATTTTTAATTTGAAAGACCAAAAATAAATTTATCTTAAATTTAAAAGACTAAAAACATATTTAAACTTATATATAAGTCAATCATGATCAGGATAGTGTGCGGCCACTTCATACCTATCATTAAGAGAGACCCGTTTTTTTTAAGTTATATACTTTTTAGATAATTTTTTTATACTATTTTATATTACTTTTTAAATTATCTGTTATGTATTTCATTTTTTATATCTAAATATAAATTTGTGATGTGATTTTATTTTTTTATAATATTTTTATTACTCTTTTGTGTATTATATTCATTAAAGAGTAAAATATATTTTTGGTCTCTATGAAAAATTTTAAGTTTGATTTTAATTCTTAAAAATTTTGTCCTATTTTAATCATTCTATTTCAAAGATGAATCACCTTTGATCCTCAAATTTATTTATACAACGTTTTCACAATAAAAACATGATATAAGAATAAATTTAAATAAAAAATATAATATATTTTTTGTATTTGTTATTGTTTGTTGTATATTTAATGTAATAAAATATGTTATCTTTAATTAAAAGTATAAAAAATATCATGCATAAATAAAGTGTATGAATTTTTTAAAATTTTGAAAACAATATGATACTTCGTTATACATATTCAAAACAACGTATAAATTTATTTCAATCAATAACTGATGTTTTACATCAAATGTTAATGTTCTAACCATTAAATTAAAAGTTCTTAAAACATGTATTAAGTTTACAAATGTTTTAAAGAATTTAAAACGATTTGATACTCTATTTCATCAATTCAAATTGATAGATAATCATGAAAATATTTTATGCATCATTTTGAATTAAAGAAATAAAGTAACAAATAGTTTTAATTTTTTAAAAAATTGTAAATTTGATATATGTATTAAAAAATTCAATTTAACGGTTTGATAATTGAAATTCAACATACACTATGGTTATTAAGTAGAGTAACTTTACCAAAAACTACTATTGAAATCATTTGTTCCTTCATCTCTCTTTTTTTTTTTCTCTCTCTCTATAAAGATTCTTACTTTATAAGTAATTTTACTTAGACTAATTATACTTAATAACTAGTGTTATACATTAAACTTTGAACATATGATGCTGTGTTTATTATTCAAAATTCCTATTGTGAGACTCACCCTAGTAGTTAATATTTTATAGCATGGTTGAAAATATTTTTATAGTTTTAAAAGAACTTTCCCAAAAACTTTAATTTTTTTTTTTGGTTCGTCCATGGAGTATCCACTCCTGATAGCAGTGACTAATCTCCTCGCTACGTTGGAGGCACCTCAAAGGGTGAGATAGTTAACCTCAAGATTTAACGCGACTGCATACACAAGACAGAATTCGAACCCTTGACTTTACTTAAGCGTGGATCAATCCCTACCTTTGAACCACACGCTTAGGGTTCAAAAACTTTAATTTTTTATAACATTAAATGAGTTAATAAAAATAACATGATATTATTTAGCACAAGTAAAATTATTCCCTCAATTTGAGAAAATTAGATTTTTACTTTCTTAATATTTTGAGGTGTGTAGAAAATAATTTTAAAAAAATGTAATTTCCTATAAGTGTTCATTTTTAAAATAATAAATAAAACATAAGAATCAAACATTCACAAATTTATATTAATGAAAATTTTATATTATGCAAATGACATTTTTATGTCAAAATTATAAAATTTATTAAATATATTGTGAGAATGATATTTTTACATGAGAATAAGAGTTGTGGATCTCAACCGTTAATTTAAATTAAAAGATTATTATTATAACAATCATCAAAACATATTGTAATCTCTTACTTATTGTACCAATCTTCTAAAAAAATTTTACTCATTCACTTTTCCACCATTGTTGTTACCACTTGTCAGCAACGACAATGATGGAAGTGATGACAATGTTGGTAGTGATAATGATTATAATGATAATAGTAACAACGTAATGAAAATGATAATTACGACAATAATTATATGTTTTTTTTTTCGTTCCTGGCTGATCCCAAAATTTAGCACGGCTGCATACACAAGGCAGAATTTGAATCCTTGACCTTGCTTAAGTGTGGATCAACCCCTACCGCTGAACCACACGCTTGGGGTTACAATAATTATATGTTGTAACTATATTTATAATTTTTTAATTTAAATTTTTTATTTCGATTTAAGAGTTTGAATTTGAATATTTTGATTATCACATAAAAATGACGTTCTCATTAATTTTATATATATACCTTACTCTCAGATGATGGTCAAAGAGAATGAACAACTTGTTACTCCAGAATCTTCTGTAAACACTGGATCAGAAGATGATCTTCTCACAAATTTATCTGATGAAGATTCCATTACTACAGCTTCCTCAGAAACACAATTAGCAGATCTCTCTGTTTTGATGGTATCCACCGGACCAGATCCTATTTATGAATCCCCTGATGAGAGCCCAATACAGAGTCCTAGAAATAGGACCATTAAACCAACTAGGGGACCTTGGTTCACCCTTGATGATATTGACCCAAGTCAATGGAGATCTCGGCTAATTGAATTTGGAGCTTGGCTAGACACCAGATTCATGAAAGGAGATACTGAATCCATCAAGATCATTGAAGAATTTGGATGTAGGATGACTGGTATCCTAAAAGAATGGTATGCTAATTTAGGCCCAGTCGGTCAAAACACATTTCATGAACTGGGAAATACAGCTGCTGTCCTAGGTGCACTCCACGAAGAATTCATAGGAGATGGAGCTCTCACAGACAGAAAAATCAGACAAGAATTCTTTGAGATGAAGTGTTGTTCACTTAAACTAAAGGATCTTGATAAGCATTATTTAAGGATGCTTAAAAGATTCTATCTTCTTAATGGTCTGAATGATCCGAGCTTGAAAAGCACCTATGTAAGCTCACTTCCCACAGAGATCCAGCCAGAACTTGCAAGAATGGCTGCTGCTATGAATAAAGATTTCACAGGCCTGACAATGGGTAGAATCCATCAGATGACCCAAGAGGCTATAGACAAGCTTTGCCGACAACATGAATACTTCTCCAATATGCTGAAAGATAAAGGAAAGTATGCCAAAGCTTGCAGAAAACCTTTCTTGGAAATCAAGTGCAAAGATAAGGATCGATGCTACTGTCCAAAGAAAAAATTCAAAGGCAAGAAGTTCCCATCTCATTTCAAGAAAAAGAAGTATAAAAAACCTTATAGGTTTTTTAAGAAAAGAGAAATTCGTGGGAAAAATCCAGGACAAAGATGTTACATCTGTGGCAAAAGAGGACATTTTGCTAAGACATGTCCAAATAAAGCTCAAAAGGCCATAAAGATGATTACATCCTTACAGCTGAATGATAGGGATGAAGTAGAATCCCTTTACTCCGAACAAAGTTCTGCAGATGAAGATACTGTATTTGCTCTACAAGATTCTTTCTCAGACACCTCTAGTAGTGATGCAGATGACTCTAGCCAAGAGGAAGATACAGTCCCAATCTTCGCTGTTGATCAATGCGATAGTATGAAAACTGTCGTTCCTCCACACCCTAATGTGGAAATTGAAATCCTACCATCCAAGTATGATTACCTAACCATGTCTCTAGAACTCTAGCACCAAAGATTGAAAACCTAGTTGAATTTTCATATGTCCCTGAAGATGCTCAGATCTCTGAGAGCACTGCCCCCCTTCTAAGTCCATATAATATATTCAAACGCCAAAGATCTACTCTTAGATCTATCAGGCAGTTGGTCAGAACCACCCGTCCACATGAAAAAGAATATGTTCAATCTTCTAAGATGGAACAGTGTTCTTTGATGGCCACTTCTGAAGAGCAGTATGTTACTATTGAGATCCCAAAGGAACTCATCCGACACTGGAGAACCGATGGATACACCCATCTTCACTACGGGGCCATTAGGTTGATGCTCACACTCCATGGGAGACGAGGACTTCTTGTCTCCTCAAGGATCTCCCGGTTAGATACTAGCTATCTGCACTACGAAAATGTTGTGATTGGTACGGTCTTGACTACACTTCACGTCGGAAGTGTCGTTCTAACATTGTTCCCCAATTACAATGTTAGCTTAAGAGACCCCACTGTACCAGAGAGACTAAAGGTCCAAGTCCAGATAACCGGAGCTGCCCAGACCGCTGATGCTGTTTGTGCTACTCTCCACTATCAAATCATATATAGGCTACAGACCCATGCGGTCAATCTGGCCCTACCCAGTAGCAATGATAGTGCCTTGTTTGTTCTTGCAAACCAGGCAGAAGAAAGCCCATCGATCGTCCAGGTTCCCAGGAATATCACTAGGGAACAGCTGAAGGAGCTCATCCCATTACAATGGGTGACAAATTATGAGAATCTCCACAAGCACCATGGCAAGCCAATTCAAACGGATCAAGCAGCTTTCAGAAGATCCGTCGACGGAACGGTCAGAACAATCTTTCAGCAACCTGAGAAAGCCTCAGGTCCAATTTTCCAAACAATGATGTTAGAACCCTTCGTCAAAGAAAAAAGAATTCCCATCTTTGCGGTACAACCAGACGGGCGAGAGATCTATACAGACCGAATCAATGGTCACTTCATCTGGGATGTTGCCCCAGAAATGTACGATCCTGAGTGCGATTGCTGGATGCACTCAGGAGACACCAGCGAAGAAGAAGATAGTGAATCAGATAGTGATTACAGTGACAATGAGGAGGGGAATACACCCTGTAAGTCACCACCTCGACCTAACAGAAGGCCAGATTCACAAAACAAGTCTTCTTTCAACAGACAGACTAATCAACGGAGCAGATATTCTTATAATATGATCTCACCAAGGTGTTCAGATGAGGTGAAAAAGTTTTCTCCTCCTACACCCAAGCCAGTACCATGCTTCATGTTTTCTGAAGCAAACAAAGATGTAGAATTTCCTCCTTTGGAAAGAAAAATAAACCCCAATACGAGGTATTCTACCAAACCTACCATCATTCCTTCGGAGATTGGTACTGACGGAAAGCCAAAGGTACTAAGTCAGGCAGAAGAAGTTCTCAACTGGCAAACAGAAAATGCTCAAGCACATAACTCCTTGTTGAAAAGGATTGATGACAAGGTTACAAAAATGTCAAGCAGTATGCAAAAATCAGAAGACAAGTTGGATTATCTCTCATCCAAGATGAAGACATACTACCAAAAGTTAACCGCTGGCATTTCCAGACTGGAGAATGAAATAAAGAATATTCCATTTGGTGCAGCACTAAGTGAGAAGGATCGAGAAATCAGGAGTTTAAAAGCTCAACTCTTCCAATTGGAGGAACAAATAGAACAAAAGAAAAAGGCTTTACAGCCTCAGCCAGTTGCTGCAGATCCTTACGCATTCTTGCACCCCCCTGCACCTGTGTCTCATTCTCTGTTCAAGACACCATCCGTCTCATGGTCTAAACCTGAAAGACCACATTACAACATTCCTACTGCCTCTGCAAATTGGCAATGGAGAAAGTCACAATCCAGTTCACAAAAACTCTCTAAATCAATAGAAGATGACTCCAAATCTTCTACTCCGGTTTCATCACCAAAAAGGCATGATACGGGAAAGGGTCATTACTTTCAAGACTCACAAGACCCTTACTCTCAGATGATGGTCAAAGAGAATGAACAACTTGTTACTCCAGAATCTTCTGTAAACACTGGATCAGAAGATGATCTTCTCACAAATTTATCTGATGAAGATTCCATTACTACAGCTTCCTCAGAAACACAATTAGCAGATCTCTCTGTTTTGATGGTATCCACCGGACCAGATCCTATTTATGAATCCCCTGATGAGAGCCCAATACAGAGTCCTAGAAATAGGACCATTAAACCAACTAGGGGACCTTGGTTCACCCTTGATGATATTGACCCAAGTCAATGGAGATCTCGGCTAATTGAATTTGGAGTTTGGCTAGACACCAGATTCATGAAAGGAGATACTGAATCCTTCAAGATCATTGAAGAATTTGGATGTAGGATGACTGGTATCCTAAAAGAATGGTATGCTAATTTAGGCCCAGTCGGTCAAAACACATTTCATGAACTGGGAAATACAGTTGCTGTCCTAAGTGCACTCCACGAAAAATTCATATACTTTTTTATTATTAAACAATAAATTTATACCGGACAATATCAAGTTTTGATACCAATCTCGTATTTATAACTCAACATCAGCAGAAACAAATAAAAAAAATGGCATGGATGAAAGTAGTGAAGCAAGATATGGTGAGCACAGATACGAAAAATAATTTTAAAATATATCACGCTATCATCACATTTCTGCCTCATTTAACATACGTATTTTAGATTCTTTTATTGATATATATTAATAAATGAATGAATCATGTTACTTGCTTTAAGGATTTTATTGTCTAAAATGAAATGATTTTTTACGAGTTTCCACGCCATCCTTGTAATCACCCATTGAAGATTCCATGACACTGGTCGATAATCTCATGTCTGGTTTACTGGTATGATTGTTTGTATTTTAACACTTTTGTACTTGTTGCCCTTTAAGGATTAAAAGATAAGCTAGTATGGAAAGTGCATTTTCCTTAGCAAATGAGTAAAATAAATTAACATTTTTATTTTCAACATGCCACAACCAGTCACATAAGTGGAAGAAAACGAACAATGTCCAATGACATTATCTCCATGTTGTGTTTTAGACCTTGAATGTTACTGCCCAATATGTTGATCAAGGAGGAGGTAGGAGAGAATGCAATTCATACACGCTCACTTAATAATTCCAATATTGAATGTTACGTGCTTCTTATGGATGCATTTGTGTATTCCTGGAATCACAACATATTGATTGATATATTGGAATTAATATGTTTAAGATTTATATCAATGTTGGCAATTAAAGCCCAAGATTTATGCTTGCTCGGCCCATTCACTACTTTTGACTGTTGAGAATATTCTAAAATTAATAGCATCGGACATTTGAGGATTATTAGAAATACAATTTTAATCACATTCTTTTAGATACACTTTTTTATTATAGAATAAAATTATTGTTCATTCCTAATTTTTAATAAATTGAAATCAATAATAAAAATACATTAAAAAAGTGCATGTTAAAATAATATATGTTAATAACTTATTCGAATCCAACTTTTTTGTTGGACAGTCCTAACGGAATGCCCATAGCAGGTGCCTAATAACTGAAAAAATATATTAAAAAAAACAGATTTATGATTGATGTAGAGAAGAATTGGTTTGAATTATATCTTTTAGAATGGCATATAAGTGGGTAGAAAATAACAATTTTAGTGGCAAACGTCTCCGTGACATATTAGGAAGAGTCTCCCGCTGGATGGCAATTGGCAAGAGCCCAAAAAATCTAGGGACTAATAAATAATAATAAACACAAGATCCTTTGCACTTTCAAGTTTGAGTACATGAACCTAACCATGTATGTTTCAACTATGACTTGTAAACTAGACTTTGAATAATCTTATGCAGTAGCAGTACTCTTTAACAAGAACTATTGAGAGAAGAGAGATGATTAAAGTAGGTAACTGAAAAATGACTCAAACACAGAAAAGGGGTAAAAAAGTGAAAACCGACCTAGCAAAGTGGTAGCTGAACTTGCGTCCAAACATACACTAGGGTACAAGATAGAAACAGTGACAGCGTTAACTCAATCGCTTCAATGTCCATCTCAACCCTTGATCTCCGGTTACCGGATCCGACCCTCTTTCCACCTCCGCCACCTCCACGATTATACCCAACTCCAAGGCCTTTCTCGGGCACGCAACCGACGACGAGCAACCCTCGCCCGCTTCAGCCGTTTCGCCACTCGCTTCCGGCTGGACCGTGGTTCGGCAGAGGGGACACGTGGAGTGAGAGGCGAACCAGGCGTCGATGCAATGGGCGTGGAAGGCGTGGCTGCAGTTGGGGAGCACGCGCCCCTCGTCGCCGTCGGAGAATTCCGACAGGCACACGGCGCAGTCCTCCAGAGGGCGGTGGGCGGCGGAGAAGGTGAACGTGGGAAGGGCCTTCAGCACGGCGGGGTCCAGGCGCGGCTCTCCGGAGGCCAGGGCGGAGGTGGGGAGGGAGTGGGAGAGGAGGAGGCGGCGGCGGCGGCGGCAGAAGCGGACGTAGGTGTGGAAGATAATAACGATGAGGATAAGGATGAAGAGGAGAATGGCGGTGCCTACCATCACTTTTCCGTTGTGGGCATATTTGGATTCAATGTCTGGGTCCATTGTCATGATTGACAATTCTCAAACACTCAAGAGACTAATCTCAATGATTTTTTAGTCTAATGTCCACATATATATATATATACACGTGGAATCGTTCATTGGTCATTCCTTTTTAACTTTATATTCTTACCAACTTCCTCGCCCAGATTTTTATCTCATTGCCGTGTCTATCTGGCATGCTTTCCAATGTTTTCGTTTAGATAAGAATAAAGATTCTTTAAGACTCTAATTAAAAAAGATATTTAAACTCGTTAAAGGTAACAAAGATAGGAAAGGGCATTTCCGTGCTCTTAGTCTTAGATAGAAAAGAAAGAATACTAATAATATGATAAAAATAAAATTTACCTCTTTTCATATTTTCCACGTGATCATGCACCAATTCGTTAACTATTTCTTTCGGCATCTCAGGAAAGAGAAATCGAAAGAGACATGTCAAAGGTTAGGATTCTCGTGATGGTACTTGTCCTTAGTCCTGGCGCCTAAGTTCCTAACCTTAACTATCCTTGCTAAAGATAGTTAAACGTACTAGGTTTAACCAAAATATAAATCTTTCTAAATTAGTGTCACCCTTAGCGTTAGCGATGATAAATTTGGGTTATTTATTTTAAATTTTTGCGGTTTAGTGTTATTTTGATGAAAAATAATATAAATATGTTTTATTTTATGCATGTTTTGGGATACTTTAAATTAATATCGTAATACATATCTGATACTAATTATTTGATTTATTTCTGGGTAAAGAATATCAAATTTTCTCAACCCGTGATATATGACGCGCATTAGTTATTGTTCTGAAAAGTAAAACAGTTCACCAAAAAATATGAAATGAAAAGCAATTTCGTCGTAAATTTAATCATTACTTATCTTATATATCTTGTACCCATGGTCTGAAATGAGAATATTGATTAAAAAAAAGGTCGCGATAAATAAACCTCATTGGTAAGGATTTCCATTGGTTGAATTTTCTCCACGTACGTTTTCCCTTCCTAGTGGCTGCAAGTCTGCAACACCGTTCTCATGTGATATTCGAGGAGTTTGCTTTCCTCTTTTTGCTACATCACAGAAAATGTAAAATCAAAATCATAACCTGATCACTCTCAAGTCTCAAGTCTCAAGTCTCAAGTCAGGCTCATTGGACTTACAACTGCCAAATATTTTAATGTTTAAAACATTAATTAAACTTAAACTAAAGTCACTATTATTGTATATTTATAAATTCACTCAAGATGTGTTGTGTGTGTGGCCTCCTGGATGTAAGGCATTCGTTGTCTCTTTATGAGTTGCTTTCATTAATTTATTTTCAATTTGGAAAGTTATATGCTGCAAAGATAAGAAACCAATTTTAGTGTCCCTAAGCATGTCGATTAATTAGATGGCATCTCACATACATCGCAATCTGTGCATCCCAAGCATGATAAATATAAATAAAAATTCAAGTTCCTACGTGTCTTATTAGGGAAAAAGTATATGCGAAATTATATGGTGTTCTTCATTGGTCGAACGCCACTAATCCACTTGAAGCTTTAATCCAAAAAAATTAAAAAGTAACATATTGACATTGGGTCTTCTTTCTTCCTTCATCATATTTGATTGGTTCTTTTCCGGGGAAAAAAGAAATAATCACAAGCCATAGGATTGGTCGTAGTTGCGGCTAAAGGAGAAAAAAATAATTAAGCAATCGTGAAAACAGATAAGAAGCACAACTTGTCGCATGGCGCATTTCCAATAATTTTCAAACAACAATTTGATTGTTTTCAAACAACATGTGGTTAACCATGAATAACGAAGCATACGATAACGCAGCACCACAATTCTATTCAAAATATCAATATTTGTGCTAAGGTTTGTCAAATGCACTGTATCCTCCTTTGCTCCAGTACATGATACACAGAGAAGTTAAGTAGTGGTGTGACAAGGCAACAATTAATTTCCCTGTTCAATTCAAGTGGTTTGATAACAACCTGAAAAATGGGCCTTCAATCCCTGTACATTTTGAAACGAAATAAAACTCTGAAACCTTTGATAATACAACCGTAACTTTATATCATGATTCATGATCATAGCTCATTTTATTGGAATATATAAAGTTTATGGCGGGGCTTCATCGAGAAACTTCTCTTTATGTTCTTTTCGCCTTCTGGAGTTTCTTTAGTGAAATTTTGTTAGGCCCCACAAAAATCGAACTTGGTACAGTTAACATTCATGCAATCAGTGAATGCTTGTAGATGAAGACAAAGGACTTGAGAATTTGAAACAAGAAAATGATTACAAATTCTACTGAATTATGTGCCAGTTGTAGATACCCCTCGACTTGGCAACAATAAAATATAGACAACAGGATCATCCATCAGATCGGAATCTGTGGGAATATAACAAAGGAGCAGGTTATCACTAAAGACAAACATAAAAATATAAAATAATACATGGTTGCCACTCAAGTTGGTATGGCTAGTGTTCTTTATTATTTATTGCACATTTGCACCATTTGGTTGGAATGACATAATTTAAGGGAAAAGGAAAAACTTACCACTTTATTATTATTATTATTATTTACGTATAATTTTAACTCATTACAATTTTGAGATTCCAGACAGAAACCAAGTATATATAAATCTGTTTAAGAAAATATGCGTGCATTATAATTTGGATGAGAAAGTGCAAAAAAGGGTAAGTATAAAGTAAAAAAGCAACGGAGCAAATGTGAAGTGATCAAACGCTTTCTTGGATTCGAAAATAACCTAAGATGCTGCAGGAATCAGAATCGTTGTCTCTGCGAATGTGTTTGTAACACGACTTGTTATTCATGCAGTGAGATCCCCCACCATAAACTGGCTTGTGCAAGTGGCGAATTCGGAACAGAAACATCTTCTGACTGAAATAGCCATTTCAATTATTCCATTCCCACTAGTAGAAATTACTTGCAATACATGTCTTTATTTCATGGTTTGGATCCATGTCATCTCGGTTCATCTTCCCTAATTATATTTATAATTTACCAAATACAATGAATAACATGTCACAATTAGTTGAGACCGCATAATCTTGTACCATGTGTAAGGAGGTGTTCAAGCTTATCCTAAAATTAAACCTGATCAAATTTTTTATTAATTAAAATTATAATGATCATACTAGAATTTGAATCTAAAATTTTGTAAATATTACTCCAAAATTAAAACGTATGTTTTTAAAAGACACATTTAATAATTCTAGCCATTTTCATATAATATATTTTTTGAATAGTTCATTATGTATTAATAATACAATTTTTTTAACTTGATAAATCATATTTTGTATAATACGATATTATATTTATGTTGATATTATTTATCCTAAAATATGTATTATAAATATATTTTTGTTGTAGACGTACGATTCATTAATTTTACAATTTAGTTATACATAATATTAAAACTGTTAACAATCAAGTTGACTCAATCCTGTGTAACATGTTATTAAGTCTTAATTTAATAAGGTTTAAATTTAAAATAAATACTTGCAAAAAAGACATTTGATATTCAGATCAGTGAATATTCTACCAAATTACCAATAGTAATGAAATGTGGAAAATGTGTACCTCAATTATATTGCATTTATAGAAGCCTAGAAATGAGATTAAATTCCTTGTTACTGGTTTCATAGCATCTAAAGGACAATATTTTTCTATCAGGATTTCATATTGTCATATGAGAAGTATTTTTTTCTATTAACATTTGTACTATCCGTACCGCTATGCTGAGCTTGAGCTCGGTATCACAGCGTGGAGTGACTTCGGACACGCGCTAGGCGACATTGGCTCGCTATCCAATTAGGTCATAAACTGATCTCGGGCCCAAGGCCCAACAAAATCATAATACACACAAAGGTACGTGCATTACTTATACGAGACTCATACACTCACAAACACTAACTTTAGCATCAGAGTCTCTTTTGCAGGTACCACCCCCATCTTAGAGCATCAAGGGTACCAGTGAATGAGGCTCACCAATCTTACTCGGAGGATCATCTCTACAGCAGATTTCTGGTAAGAACAACATTATTAATCTATGGCTGCTATGCTACTCTAGCTTTTGAGAGGATATGACCCATTTAACACAATGGATCTTGAGTCCAATTCTGAACGACACCCATTACGTGCTATTATTTTCATAAATAAGAAAAAAAAATTCTTCATGTTATCAATAAGAAAGAACAATCATCTCCGTGGACAGTAATAAAAAAAAATTAACAATCATTATCCATATCGTTATCTTTATTAGAAATTGCTAAAAATCTAAAAATATCAGTATTTTGAGATATTTTTGATCCATCAGTATTATGAGATTGAAATAATATAAAAGTTCATGATATATACACCTTTTTTTTTTTTCTATAAGTACACTTCTTTTTAAAAAAAAAATTAAAATTTTAAAATATTTTAATTTTTTGTTTTAAATTTTGTTAATTTTACATCCACAACATTTAATTTAGTATTTTTTTTTTACATATCTTTTCTCTTTTTTTCAATTTTTACATGCACTTCCTTATTTTTCCTTCACCCCGCCTATTTTAGTAACATGTGAAAATTGAAAGAGAAAAAAAAAGTGTGTGAATAAGAAGAAGAAAGTAACAAATTGAAAGTTGAAAGTGTAAAATTAAATTTTTTTAAAAAAAATCATAATTTTTTTATAATTTTTTTAAAAAAAGAAGATGGACTTATAAAAAGAAGGAGGTGTATATATAATGAGCCTAATATAAATGCGCCTCTTTTACTAGGCTATCAATATAAATTTATAATTGGGCCTATGAATTTGGGTCACTGTATCCAAATTTGGGTTGCAAGAATTGGTTGTGATGGAAGGAGCAACTCACTTTATAACTCAAGAAAGACCAGAAGAGATAAGTCCGCATATATGCTACTTCATCAACAAATTTTAATCTGAATTATCCTTAATAATATCATAATCATCAATAATATCGTAATGATAGATTACCAAAAATCCAAAAGGTTAAAAAAAACATTACTGTTATGACATTGAAAGAATATGAACATGCCTCTTTAACTATGCTGTCAATTTGGGTCGTGGCATGTAAATGGATTTAAAATTCAACCATACTATTTTAAAAAAATTATAACTAATTTGACAATAAATCGACCCAAATTTATTTATATAAAATGAATTTCAAAAACTGAACTGATTTAGTAATTAGGTTCAATGTACCGGTATATCATTTTTAAATAATAAAATAAAAATAATTCACTTACGCATCTTATATCTTGTGATTCAATGATTTATAATATGACATAAAATATTTGAGTGTTATTTGTGATTTTTTTTTATACTTTTTAATAGTGTTTATTATCAAATGATATTTTATAATTAATTTTTACATGGCAATTATAGTCTTTTAATGTTTTTGAGTTGATTTTTAAAAGTTCATTTGTAAACTTTTTTTTAATATATTTTGTTTAATAAAATAAATAATTTTTTTTTATTTTTATGATTTATTTATCTACTTAATTAATGTTTGAGTTAAGTATCTAATTAATAAAAATTAAATACTCTTTTAATTTATGTTTTTAAAATGAATTTTGTTTTAAATTTTTTTTTTTGATTTTCTTTCTTTTCTTCCTCTCGTTTTCTTATTCTACTTTATCTCTTTCTAATCACTCTTCCTTTATTCTTCTTTTTTTCCTTAATTCTTCTTTTTTTATTTTTTTAAAAAAATTTCTATTTAGCAAATAAGGCACTCACTGTTCATCCTTAATATATGTTAAGTCTCAATTTTACTTCTTTTTGGACGAGACTTATTGAACAATTTCACTCATCATCTGAACCATTACAATATAATTGTTCTCTTTTTGGTTCATTTTGTGTGCAGATATAACTAACCCAAATTCATCTAACAATACCTTAATCCACCTCATTTTTTGTGCAGGTATTGAGTGAAGAGTGGAAAGTTGAAGATCCTTTGGATTGGAAATCTAAGAAGCTAAGGAGCAGAGAAGAGTGAATGCGCCGGGCGCCACATGACCCGCGCCGGGCGTGATCAAAACAGAGTCTCACCTCTGCAAATCCACATCTGCGCCGGGCGTAAAATTAATTGCGCCAGGCGTGTCCTAAGGCATAAAGTATTTGGAAGACCCCGCGCCGGGCGTGAAGACTTACGCGCCGGGCGCGAAACCCTAATCTGATATCTCCAAGCTCGTATTTGAAGCCATTTTCGAGGGTTTCTCCCTCATTCATGCAGGGGCGCCTCCCGGAGCTGCGGAAGGGATTCCCAAGGCTTGGGACCGTTCGTGTGTGGATCTTTCCTTCGGTTCTTCACTTCTCCCTTCATCTCTATTTTGTATTTACCCTCATTGTTGAGTGGTTCTACCCATTTTTTTGGGGTTAGATGTAACCAACGTACTCTATTGTAATCCTTACGTTTTTAATGATATATATATGTATTGTTTCATTCTTTGTTGTGTACGTTTCTAAGCTTAATGCTTGCTTTGGATTGATCACCCTTTGCATGATTTAAGGTTCCATTGAGTATTGGGAAATACCATTGAAACTAGTTCTGGAACATATGCCTAGTGGAGATTGTATCTAGGGATAGAGCTTGACCCATTAGTAGTCTTAAACCCTAATCTGTAATGCGGGTGTAGGTATTGGGTACTCAAGGGATTGATATTCAATATCCGCACCTAGGCTCTTTCTCTAAGGGATTAGGTTTGAGTAAACTTATGGGTTGACTAAGCAATGAATTTAACAAGAGATTAAGGATTCATTAGTTTGACGTTCGGTGAAATCTAACCCCCACAACCTCACAAAACCATTATGTCATCTCTAACCTTTTTCACTCACAATCAATTATTTTTGTAGTTTAACATTCCAATAGTCATAACCTTGAATTCACATGACAACTATGAAATTGGAATCATTCTTTAGTCACGAATAGTCAATAAATGCTTATTTTACCTTCTAATCCATGTGGATACGATATTTTTACTACTTGAACGGTCGGTATACTTGTCGTGTTTGAGACCGTTGATAGAATTAAACTGATTTACAATTATAACAAAAGTACTTCAACGGAAATCTCAATAATATACTTCTTTAAATCTTATTTTTTTCATTCTTAACATGATTTTTAAACCTAATTTTATAACTTATCTTCAATATTGTATATATTGAATTTTTTAATGACATTTTGAAATCATGATGATTTTACAATAAATGACCAATTAGAAACAATATATTTTTATTATTACTATAATGTATTTATCAAAATTGTGTTTTTGTAATTTTAAAATACACTTACAAACAATACTTTTGAGAACAATATATTTACTTTTCTAGAAAAAATATTTTTTTTTGCTCTTTTGAAAATAATAACATGTTTTTAGTCTTTCAAAAAGTACTTTTGAAACATGTATATTTATTCTTTTCTAAAGTACTTTCATTACGTATGTTTTATAAAATACTTCCTAAAGAATAAAATAATTTTCTAAAAGTATAAATATATACTTTTCATACTTTTCAAAAGAGTAAAATTGAAAGGTGTTTCAAAAATAAAAAAGATTAAAGGAGGAATATTATTAACTAAAAACAAGACTAATTAACAAAAATCATGTTAAAATCTGTTTTGATATAGAGAACCTCCTTAAAATAATTTTAGCGACAATCTAATTTCAAAATATAACCTACCTCCTTTTAACTCTAGTAGGAAGTATATATTTATATTTGAGTGTTATGAAATTTTAGATTCTTAAAAAAAATGTATAAAAGTTATAGCTAAATCATCTTTAATTCTAATTACAATGAATATTTATAATTTTTAAGGTCAAACAATTGAGCTTATGTCTCGGTTAAATTTGTAGGTAACTGATTTTTGGGACCAAAGGATACATTGTTCTCAATCCTTAAACACATAAGTGTAAATAGTCGTCTTAATCTTAATGTGTGTTTGAAAAAAATTTTAGGTTGAATGTAATCCATGTTTTTTTTTTCAATTCATGAATATAGTTGTTCTCTCACATGGATAATTGGAACACGTGAAAGTCAATTTTAAGACATTTGAACATAAATAAAATATATTGTTGATGACCACATATTCTAGTGAAAAACATTATTTGGTAATAAATTTCAATAATACACAATTTTTTTAAGAGTTAATCATCTATACATTGTTAATGTAAAACTTTTTACACTGGCAACCAATCATATCTTTTAAAGTTACTTATTTTATTATTATTTTATTAAATAAGCAACTGACATGACATTATTAAAAAATATGATTGGTTGCTAGTGTAAAAAATTTTTACACTGACAGTATATATGTGATTAACTCATTTTTTAATTTTGAATACAAAAGTATGAAGAGACTCAATGAATGTCTATTTTAATGTAAAATGTCAGACAAATGAAAACTTAAACAATTCATAATCACATTAAAATAAAATAATGTTTAAATTTGTTTTGATATGGAGAACCTCTTTAAAATAAACTTAGTGACACTATAATTTCAAAACACAACCTACCCCCTTTTAGTTATGGGATGAAGTATATACTTGTATTTGGGTGTTATAAAATTTTAGATTCTTCAAAGTCAAACCATTGAGCTTATGTCTTGGTTAAGTTCGTAGGTAACTACTTTTGAGACCAAAGGTTATATAGCCCTCATTCCTTAAGCGCATAAGTGTAAAGAAACATCTTAATGTGTGTTTGAAAAAATGTTAAGTTCAATATAACTAACTTTTTTTTTTCAATTCATATATATAATTATTTTGTCATCTGAAACATTGGAACACATTAAAATTAATTTTAAAGCATTTAAACATGTGTGTTAGCGACTGTATATTCTAGTGAAAAACATTATTTAGTAATAAATTTTTTGTAATTTTTAATTTTTAATTTTTAATAAAAAAATGTAAAGAAATTCAATGAATCTCTATTTTAATGAAAAGTGTCACTCAATCAAAAAATTAAATAATTTATAATCACATTAAAATAAAAAAGAGAAATGGCATTGTCAAAAGATTAAGTGTGTGTTTATTTTGATGTTAGATGAAACGAAATATCAACTCATTCCTTTTCCTACTTCTATATTTTTCTTTGAAAAATGTAAAAAATTCGTTGAATGGTATTCATCCAGTAAAAACAAAGATGCCGCCTCACTTTTGTTTTCATAAGGGAAGAGGAGAAATTATGTTCCCACTAATTGATTTGGTTAGGCAACAAACAATTCCTTAGCCGACTCCCCGAGAGTAAAACCAAAACGAGGTAAGGAAAAGTCAACCATAGCTGCATTCTGCATAAGAGTTGAAATAAGAGAGAGCGCAGAGAAAAAGAAAAAGAAAAATGGAGAAAATAGAGCACACAACGGTGAACACCAATGGAATAAACATGCACGTCGCATCAATTGGCTCGGGCCCCGCGATACTGTTCCTCCACGGCTTCCCGGAGCTTTGGTACTCATGGCGCCACCAGCTTCTCTCCCTCTCCGCCGCGGGCTACCGCGCCATCGCCCCCGACCTCCGCGGCTACGGCGACACCGACGCTCCGCCCTCGGCTTCCTCCTACTCGGCCCTCCACATCGTGGCCGACCTCGTTGGGCTTCTGGACGCTCTGGGCATCGACCAAGTGTTTCTAGTGGGCCATGACTGGGGAGCCTCCATGGCCTGGCATTTCTGCTTGCTTAGGCCCGATCGCGTTAAGGCCCTCGTCAACATGAGCGTCGTCTTCCCCCCCAGAAACCCTAAACGAAAGCCCACTCAGAGCCTCAGAGCCATCTTCGGCGATGATTACTATATTTGCAGGTTCCAGGTAAATAAAAAATTCAATCTTGTTCATAAGTTTTAGAAGGGTAATATTTTCTAGTACTTTGTTATTCGTAGAAACCTGGGGAGGTTGAAGAAGAGTTTGCTCGTGCTGGTGCTGCCAGAATAATAAAGACATTTCTTACATGTCGCGATCCACGACCACCTTGTGTGCCTAAGGAGATAGGATTTGGGGGCCCGCCTCACCTTCCCATTCATTTGCCTCCGTGGCTGTCTGAAGAAGATGTCAATTACTATGCCACCAAATTTCACCACAAAGGCTTCACCGGTGGCCTCAACTACTATCGCGCTATGGACTTGTAACTTTCTTTTGCTTCTACAGATTGGGAATAAATTGTTTTCATGATTTGCTCTGGACAGGGAAGAACCCGGATAAGACTTCATGATTATACGGAAGGAACTCAACTAGAGATATCATCAAAATATAGTTCATTCTATAAGGGTTGAATTAGATGTCAAGTTGAAATTTGATATCAGAATCTACCTTAAATTTGATATTGGGTTATGTTCAGTCTTAAGTGCGGGAGGGGGTGATTCGATCCTGCATCAACTAGAGTGTAGAGATATGAAAAATGTATTCCCAACAAAGCTTCAGTCCCTTGCACACCATTTTTGTGAGGTTAAATTAGATAGAGAGCATGTTTGGTTATAAGTTTAAAAATACTTTTGAGAGTTTCTCATTTATATTTTTTATTTTCAGTAGAGAAACTTTCGAAAACGCTGATAACTCGTATAAAAAAGGTTAAGTTCAAATTAAAGTGACAGATGAGATGGTAAGAGAAGAGAAATATGGAAAGAAAAAGGGTTGAACTAAAGAGTCATGTTTAGGAATAGGTTTAATATGTTAATTTTTATGAACTAATGGAACTTGACATGTAGTACTGTATGCATGTACCGATAGATGTATTATCAATTTGTTATAAAGTTTTTGCCTATCTGATTTGTTGAGGGATGTGTATGTATAGTGAAGTAAATTCTGTTTTGTCTGCAGAACTTGGGAGCTCACAGCAGCATGGACTGGAGTACAGATCAAGGTGCCGGTCAAGTTTATTGTGGGAGACCTTGACATAACATATACTCCAGGTGCTAAGGAGTATATACGTAATGGTGGCTTTAAGAAACACGTACCGTTCTTGCAAGAATTGGTTGTGATGGAAGGAGTTGCTCACTTTATAAATCAGGAAAGACCAGAAGAGATCAGCGCGCATATATACGACTTCATCAAGAAATTTTAATCCTTCAGAAGTATACCGCGTACATGTCATTAATAATTCCTAGAATCATGATTTGGATGCACTATCTCACAAGCTTGTATGAATGTCAAGTCTTAACTAGTCTCAAAATCCCCATCCCCCCGCACCAAATAAATGATGTCTTAGTGGTTGAATAAATCCCAACTCCCAAGTGTTAGATTTCTTCCTGTGTCTCTTTTGTATTAGACTATTAGTTAATGATGTGGTACTAGCGATTGGATGTAGCAGTGATACTTGGTAAAATAGAATAGGCATATGGTGACAGCAAGAATGCATGATAAAACGAAAGTTGTGGTTTATGGTCTCAACTTTGTCAAAGGCACTGATACCAGCAAAAGCGAAATTGAATTAAGGTATACCTGAACCCGTCAGATTGGTTAACCCGATACCGGGAACGTTCTAATACAATTCACTGTGACAAAAGTATTGTCATTAAACCTGCATTAGAAAATAAGTTTTGGAAGGGAAAACACACTCTTAAAATAGACTATGCTTAGTTTGTGAACATGTATAGTAACAGAGGACAATAGAGTCATAAATAAAATGAAATAAATGTACGGCTATATTATGCATATACTTGTAATAGCAAACGAAGACCACTTTCATATCTTATTCAATGAAAAAAAAAATGAATATTAAACAGAATAAGATATTCTAATAAAGTTTTAAACATAACGTGAAAACAATCCATTCTTTTCTCTTTTTTTAAGAAAAAAAATTCCTACGAAAATATTTTTAAGAAACAAACATGAAGACAATCTGACAACAAATTTTAACACCTTTCCTAAAAACTAAGATCTCTCCGATACGTGCATCTCCTGAACTCGTTTTTGTAAAGTATACCATTTTACAAAAAAAATTACTCCAATGGTACAACAATCTAAAAACGTTAAGTGAATCTCACATAATATCTCAATGATTTTTTAGCTATAAAAACCAAATACTTGTATAAAATTAAAAACCTCTTACAAAAAAATCAAGTAAACATCATCCGATAATTATCCTGAATAAGAACCAGTCTTAACCGGTGAACCTCGCATAGTATTAGAGTGCTCTAATTGTTGGACTTAACCAACCATTGATATCTATCTTGTTTCGAACTATATCATCACTGTCTTCATCCCGTCCATACATCATAAAGTAAAAATATAAAAGACTAAGTTTGTAGTGGAGACCCATAGCAGAATACTAAATATAAAGGAATGACAGATCAATAAATAATTCAATCCCACTCAAACAAAACCGTCATTCCCTCTCTAGTCCTCTTTTGCAAGCCAGACTAAAAATACATGGATTCAAAACTCAAAATAGAATAATCGTGGCAAAATCAGGTAGAACAAGAGCTACTCATTAATCCTCTCAAAAGTAGTTTGTGCTAGAACAAAATTGTTCGGGGAAAGCGTTTCAAATTTTTTCCCTTTCAAAAGGAAAATTAAACTAACATTAACAAATTGTTCCAAAAACACGAGAAAACAATGCTTAATGATCATATGGTAAAAGGAAAATTCCTTCATGTTTGAGTTCCAGTGCTCAAACTCTAAAGCCTCTGCTATTCCTTCTTCCTCTGGCCCGTTCAAATTTCCTTCCCTTTGCACGGACATAGGGCTTGGTGTGACTATGGGGCACACCAGGAGCTGGTCCGAAGTGCTTGACAGCCTCACGGGCATTCTTAGGACCTCTAAGAAGAACCTGAAACATTATTCCAAGAAAAAAGTCATGCTTCAGAAATATGACATTTTTAAAGCACTGCCACTACAGCAGGGGACAACCAAAGCTTGCTTTATTATTTTCTTCTTCCTCCTATAAGTAAAACGGAAGAGCATGACAACTAGCCCCACAACCCCAAACAATTAACAAAGTTGACCTTTATTTACAGCACAAGATTGGTATGAAATAGAATGAACAAAAATGCTAGAAACAGAAAGGATAATAACAGTTTGGGTGTGAACATGTAAAAGAACATTTGCTGCCAAACAGAATCATGCATAGTATTTGTCCTCCACATGAACAAGATAAAGAAAAATAAATTCTAGACTCCATATACATTTATCATTCAGTTGATTTTCACTTTTACAAAGATAAGTGGCCAATAAGCCAGCACAATCAACATGAATATTCATAAAGTGTGAACAAAGCAACTAATTATAAGAGTCAAGCATACATTGCAGCAGGCAAAACCATTGATAATCTGCTACTTGTTACACAGCCAGTGCACAAAGCCAACAATATGGACTTGCTTGATAAGCTTTTCCAAAAGTATGGAAAAAAGAAAGTAAGAATAAAAACTGAAATAACATAAGTTAAAAAATATTTTTTAATAAAATAATGAGAGTTTCTCTAATTTTAGATTTTGGAAAAAACTTGTTTCATTTTTTTTTCTTCCCTTATAAGTTTTTCTAAAATAGGTTTATTCAAACAAGCATTATGAGCCTAATTGGATACAATTTAGGACTTTTGAATGTTTCTCTATTGAAAATAAAGAGCATTTTCCTATAGAGAAGCTCCTAAAAGCCCTTCAAGAAACATGATGCTCAATAACCTTCACAACAAGTTAACATATAGGGTTTCTTTAGGTCAATTTTTCAAAAAGCACTTCTAAGAGAAAAAAACATTAGCTAAAATTAGCTTGAGCATAAGCTAATTTGAAGTAACTTACTCCTATTAGCTTGTCCAATACCTTATTTGTAATTTACACATTTGTTTTAATGTATGGAGAAACTTATTTCAATTTTACTTCCTTTTTTTTCTCTAACTTACTGGGAAACTTATTTCAATTTTAAGCCCTGTTTTTTTTTTCCTCTTATAAGTGTTTTCTGGAGAAACTTATCCAAAGATGTCTATACTAACATGAGGCTATTATCAGGGACATTATTGTGTATTTGTCATCCCAACTCACAAGTTACAATAAGAAGCATTAAAAACCATACCGTGTTCTGGCCAAGTGGAGCTCTAAGAGCCAGTTCCTCAAAGGAGATACATTCCCCACCAGCCTTCAGAATTCTAGCTCTGGCAGTTTTAGTGAACCTCAGGGCAGTTACCTTCAGCGCAGGAACCTCGTACGCACGAATGTCATCGGTCACAGCCCCAACAACCACAGCAATCTTGTCCTCCTAAGAAAATCCAAAGCATACACATCAATGGCAATTAAAATCATCACTTCAAATCTTAAAAAATTAATCACGAATGAAGAAAACAGATAGGTAGGTACCTTCCCCTTCATGTAACGGATCAACCTAGAGAGCGATAGCGGAGGCTTGTTGACCTTGCTCATGAAAAGGCGCTTGAGGATGACGGCGTTGAAATTACTCGAAGTCCTCCGAACAAGAAAACGGTACAGCTGAAAACACAAAAAGAGAAATGTCAAATACGAAAAGCAAATCTCACGTTTATTCATTCAAGGTGATGAACGAGCTTGAAAAGGAGTGTACCTTGACGGCGAGTTTGAGGTAGATGTCATCGGATTTGGGAGCGGTGCGCTTGGTCTTCTTGGACTTACCTCCTGCCTTCAAATCGATACCCTGCAATTGAATTGGAAAGAGTGTGGGGTGAAGTGTTGGAGTTAGACGAAGAGTTGAGACGAAAGTACCATTGTGAATGGAGTTTCTTGCTACTGCCGTCACCAAGCGATGCAAGGGTGCTAGGGTTTTTGTTAGGGTTGGATGAATTTATTTATCCTTTTTCCGCAGAGTTAAAAGGCCCGAGTCAACTCGGGCCACGTCCATGACTCGTTTAGTCGCACTCGTACAACAAAATACATAGTAATAATAATAATTTGGCTAAAAATCAAATTTGGTCTCTTATAATAATTTTTTGTTTCAATTTAGTCCTATTTTTATTTTTGGTTTCAATTTGGTCCCAAACTAATTAATTGGTTTCAATTTAGTCCCTAATAAATTAATTGGTTTCAATGTGGGACTTTCGTCCAAATTATTTAAACGGAGTTAATTTTTGGTCACGTGGATGCCACGTAGATGCATACGTGGATGCCACGTGGATGAAATTTTTTTGAAAACACCTGGACCCAGAACGGCCCGTTCTAAAACCGGAACGGGCCGTTCTGCTTACACTTTTGGTGTGTTAATTTTGCATCGAGAACGACCCGTTCCAGGTGCAAAATTAACACACCTAAAAAGAAACCAGAATGGCCCGTTCCGGTTTCAGAACGGGACGTTCTGGTTTATTTTTTTTATATATATAAAATATTAATAATTTTACAAAATATATATTATTAATTTTATTTTAATTATATTGTTATATCTAATAAAATAAATATATTAATATTTTTTTATATTTTATTTTATTATGTTTATCTTATTAATTTTTATTATTTTATTCCTTTAATCTTAAATAAGTTGCAAAAAATTATAAAGTGATATTTAAATATTTCTTCAAACAGAAAGAGAAAAAGAAAAAATTATTACTCTATTTATAAGACAATTATATTTTATAAAAATAAGTAATTTTAAAATTTTTACCATAAAAAAATATTTTTCAAAATTATTATATTTTTTAATAAAATTAATAAAGAATATTGGTTTAATTGCATTTTTTATCCCTCAAGTATTACAATTGTGCAGTTTTGTGATCTCCAAGATTTTAATTGCATAATTTTAGTCCTTAAAGAATTACAATTGCGCGATTTTGGTCCTTCAATTTTTAATTGAACAATTTTAGTCCCTCGAATATCATAATAGTATGATTTTTGTTTCTCCCATTAAAAATTAATAATTTTAATATATATATATATATATTTATATATATATATAATATTTTAAAATTAAACAATTATTTATCTATTCAAATTAACGTATATTATAATTTTCGATATTATATCAATAATATTATTAATATATTTATAGATAAACTAATAATTTGATAAATATAACTTGTTATATATTAATATACTTTTACAAAAATATAAGTATATTAATTAGAAATATATATCTGATCTTATATATTTATATTTTTGTAAAAGTATATTAATATATATTAAGTTATATTTATCAAATTATTAGTTTATTTATAAAAATGGTAAAAATATTATTGATATTAATTTATCAGTAATATTAAAATACTAATAATATATAAATTTTATTTATTTAGTAATAGTAAATATATATCATTTGATACATTAAAAAAAATAATATACGTTAATTTAAATAAACAAACAATTATATAGTTTTAAAACATTATATATATATATATATATATATATATATATTAAAATTTTAAAATTATTAAATTTTTAATGATAAAGACTAAAATTGCACAATTATGATATTTGAGAGATTAAAATTGTTCAATTAAAAATTGTGAGACTAAAATTACACAACTGTAATCTTTTAAGGACTAAAATTACTCAATTAAAATCTTAGGGATCAAAATTGCATAATTATAATACTTGAGCGATTAAAAATACAATTAAGCAAGAATATTCTATATTCAGTTTTGGAACGGGCAGTTCTGAATCCAGAACGGACCGTTCTGAGACCAGAACGGTCCGTTCTGGTTTCAGAATGGCCCGTTCTGATGCACTAGTGGTGTGTTAATTTTTGAGTCTGGAACGGCCCGTTCCGGTTTCAGAATGGGTCATTCTGGTTCCAGTGTTTTCAAAAAAAATTGTCATCCACACGTGGCATCCACGTATGCATCTACGTGGCATCCACGTGGCCAAAAGTTAACTCCGTTTAAGAAATTTTGACGGAAGGACCACATTGAAACCAATTAATTTATTAGGGACTAAATTGAAACCAATTAATTAGTTTGGGACCAAATTGAAACCAAAAATAAAACTGTGACTAAATTAAAATAAAAAATTATTATAAGGGACCAAATTATATTTTTAGCCTAATAATTTTTATACATTTAAATTTTATTATACTGTTTTTTTATTAAAAGGAATAGTTGAATTCAAGTATAATATTGTGAGTTAATCATCTATACAGTGCTTGTGTAAAGTATAATATAAGTAATTAACTCTAATATTATTTACAAGAATGCACGTACATTCTTTACCAAACTATCGTTAACCACCTAAATTTATTGTTAAAAAATTTATATATTTATTTTATTTATATTTTTTATTATTAAATTATTATAGAATTCACATTATTTATTTCATTATAAATTCATATATAAACATGACTCGCATTTTTATTAATTATATATATACGAAAAATTTATAATATAAATAAATTATGTAGCAATATTTTCTTTACTTTTCACTAAAATGCAAATATATTTTATTTGTTTTTTAAGGGATGTGGTTGAGGTCATTTAAAATTAGGGTTAGAATATAAATTTCAAGTTAGCAAGTTACTTATCACCTACAAAAAAACCATTAATAGTGAGATTTATTTTTAAAATATTAACATAATCAACATAAGAGCATAGATGATCAGCCACAAATTATAATGTGTAGGGTTACGATAACATATCTATTATTAATGTATTTGTATACACGTTCAAACTTTGTTGAACATCACTCCTTAAACTTTGTTTAGTCACGTTTTGTTCTTAATGATATGTAGAACGAAAATTTAACTGATAAAATAAATAGTACTCTATAACTCTCAAGTCGTAGTTTTTGCACATTGTATCCTTCACTTTTAAATGGAGCTTATTGTATGTGTTTGTGTCATTATTTTTTTGCATCGTATAACATTAGGATTTATATATTATATTGAAATGACGAAATTCATCTAACACCAACAAAACATTATCTATTTAGATGTAACAACAAAAGATAAAATGCTAAAAAATATATATGAGAAAACATATGAATAACTCCATAGATGATTGGAGAAATTTGAACTTTCATCTCAGTTGTCATTTCTTTTTTGCAAAGGTTTTAAAGAGGGAGAGAAATCACACTATAAACTCAAAAGGTGACAAAATTTGTTGATCGAGTAACACAAACAAAATTGTATAAGGTGTGGTTGCGTGTCACACTAACAGTGAGAGAACAAAGAGAAAAATAATGCACTATCTTTAACCATTACCCAACATTTGATTCACTGTTTGATGCCAAGAAGATTGAGATATATATGTTATTCTCGCATTTTTGTATTGTATATTTTTTGTCTCGACTTGACATGTACATGGTGCTTTGAGAATGATTTTCATGATTTCAATAATTTGATTAACACTTTCCCTTATTTAAGAGTTTTAGAGTTTAGGATTTAAGGTTTAGAATTAAGTGTTTTATTATATATATAAAAAAAGGTTTTGTGGTATTTAATAAAAAAAGTTGATATAAAAAATCACATAGTATTTAATTAAGACAACTATAATTTTTTAAAAATACAACAAAATATGATGGTATTTAATTAAGAAAATTTAAAAAAATTAGGAGTACATCAAAATTTAATAATATCTAATTAAGACAATTTTTTCACTTAAAAGAAGTTCATTAGTGTTAAAAATATAAAGATTTTAATATATTATTTTTAAGGGTAAATTTTCTTGGATTTTTTAGTACGACTTACATATAGTTCACTCATCCAACAATTTCGCCAAAACATTGAGATTTTCATGATTTTTTTGTTTATTTCTCCTCATTTTTTGCTCCTTCACTTTTTTTTTTCTTTTCTCCTTTTCCTCTCTCGCTCTTTCTCATCTTCTATTTTTTTTTGTTTCTCCTCTCTCTCTTTCACCCCTTTCTTCCTTTCGCTCTTCTCATGTCTTTTGTATCTCATATTCTCTTTCTCTTTTTATTCACTTCTGTCGTTTATTTTCTCTTCGTTATCTTTCTAACTTTCTCTTGTTTTATTATTTATCAATATTTTTTGTTATAATTTTATCTATTAATATTAATGTATAATTTATCAACCAGATAATTACGAACTATCGTACCAACCTTCACCACCTTAGGAATGTAGTACGTTGTCAAATCCTCTTTTAAGTTTGGGGGTTTCCATCAAAAAAATCAAGTTGTCAGAAGAAAAGTATATCTAAATGTGAAGGGAGTTCTAATTTAATTGATACCAACAATCATGTCAAAGTTCTAGATACTCCTTCTATTTGCATTGAGACTATTGTTATCAATTTTGAAAGAAAAAAATATCTAACATATTGGGGAAAAGAGAAAAAAAAAATAATGTTTAGAATGCTATAAAAGATATCCTAAATTTATATATTTAAACTTGTCTTATGATTGTTGATTTACTTGATACTAAAGCAATAAATGACACTTTATTTAAGATGTCATTGAAAGAAAGTTCATCCTAGACAAACTTAAAGTTGTGATGATTAATACTTTGTTAAACTATATTTTTTTAAGTGTCATTTTGACTGTATTTTGGTTGAAATATTTGATTTATATTTCAATAGAGTTATAATGGTTGAACATTAAAAATATATAAAAGAATTTTGGATTGCATCAAAACTATTGGCGATATCTATATTCCAAGTGAGGGGACAAGATGCAAGTAATTATCATCATTGAAATATATGACAAAATGTATCAGCAGCATGTAACTTGGTTTTGGAATTTATGTGTGTTCTTAACGAGTGAGAGAGTTTGGTTCATGATTCTAAGTCATCAAGTGATACTTTGACAATGAGAAATGGACTTAAAGTGTCATAAGGTGAATATTATTTTTAATAATATATATATATATATATATATATATAAACTTTTCATACTAATTTTATATATGTTGCATATGTAATTAGATAACTATTTT